AAAAATTTTGAAATACATTAGATAATTTCAGATTATTTGTTTTCACTCTTGACATTTAAACCACATTAAAATTTGTTTTACTGTAATAAACAAGCAAAACTTAACAATATATATTAAATTAAAAATACAGTACCTCACATTGGTTTTCAGACACTTCTATATTTGAAATTTATTTAAATAGATTTTGTCCTAAATATTAAAACAAGACAAATTTTTTCAAATAGATTATTTTTCTCTATTTTAGGCCTTTCTTATTACTAAATAAATATAATCAAAATACTCCTTGTAATAAAAAAAAATCAAAAAGTTTTGATCAGTAACTCGCATAATAATTTGGAAGTTTCCTGGAGATGTTTTGGCAGAAGATGTTTCTTGACATATTTTTATTTTTTATTTTAAATGAAACTGCATGACAAAAATTATTGTCTGTGTTTGGAAATTATTACTTGTTCATCAAAATATATTAACAGTTCCCTATTTAAAGTGAATGTGGCAAAACACTACAAATTAATCACAAGTTCTCTTAGAAATATAAGGGTCATTCAAATGAAAGTTGCATTGCTGTAATAACTCTGCCATTTGAAGAAAAAGATGACTCGTATGCCCTTATAGTAGGCACAGAGTGTTGGGAGTGTATAAGATATTGTCAGATGCGTGTTTGATAGCATCTGAACATGTTAAAAGGCATCATTTGCATCATGGATGCCTCCAAATGTTGTCAACGCGCGGTAGTGCAATTTTTAACAGCGGAAAATGTGAGTGCTTCTGAAATCTGTCATCGAATGCAAACTCTGTATGGTATGGAGTATACGAAACGCAGATCAGTATTCCAATGGTGTAGGGATTTTTGTAGTGGAAGAAGCAGTATTGACAACAGACCACAACCTGGTTAAGCACATGTGGTGATCACCCAGGAAGCAGTTGCAGGTGTGGACTGTCTCGTGAAAATGAATCGGAGAATCACCACTCGAGAAATAGTGAAGGAAATGTCTATGAGCATAGGACGTGTGCACACAGTACTGCATGAAAGGTTGCAGTGCTATAAGGTTTGTGCGCAATGGGTGCCAAAACATTTGACAGAGGAGCAGAAGATTCATCACATGTCTGTTTCCATGCAACACCTTATGTGGTATATACCACAAAATGGGGAACAAATTCCTTTTAAGGATTACTACTGCTGATGAAACATGGTGCCATCCAGCCACCAAAAGCATGAGCATGGAATGGTGACATTCTTCATCCCCACGCCTGTAAAAGGCTTGCACGTCCACTAGAGGTGGTAAAGTCATGTTAATGTGCTTCTTTGACGTTGATGGTCCACTACTGTTGGAATGGTTTCCTATGGGCACGACTGTCACTGCTACCATGTATTGTGCTGCATTGCAGAAACCTAGACAGAATATCAAGAAACCGCTGATGTAGCATGCTCTCATGTGAGGTTATCCTTTTGCATGATAATGCTCATCCTCATGTGGCTGTGGCATGCCAAACATTGTTAAGGTAATTCTGCTGGGACGTTCCCTAACATCCCACTTACAGCCCGGACCTCTCACCGTGCGACTACAAAATTTTCAGTCTACTCAAGAAATCTCTGACGGGATGGCGATTTGCCACCGATAATGAGGTCCAAGCTGTCATTGAAAATTAGTCCCACAATTAACCCCACAGCTTCTCCATCCAGGGTATCCACCATCTCATTGACCATTGGGACACTTGTTTCAACCTACGAGGTGACTTTGTCTATCCTATCTGTTACGTCTGTATTACTTCATTCTTTTGTAGTATACTAATTTATATTAATATCATTAAACAATTTCTCAAACCGACTGTAGTGCCACTTTCATTTGAATGACCCATATTCACTATTCTAAACATGGTTAAAGTATTTAAAGAATCCAAAAAACCATTAATGTAAAGCATTCAACTATCTTTAATGTATTAAAATGATGGAAAATGCCTGGAACTGTTCAAAATGCATTGAAGTCTGTAAGACAAAGGAATCAGAAATTTATCTTACAAGAAATCAAATAAAATCCGAACATTAGTATTGTAAAACTTGCATTGAATTAGCAAAAGACTACAATGGGTAATCAGCAAGAAGGAAATTCCTCCTCAGTGAGAAAAGGAAAATACATGTGGCATTTGTAAAAGTTCTTGATCAGCAAAGATTTTTTATGTTGAAATAATATATTTTCAGATGAGTCAAAATTTAATATACAGTAGAATCCATTTTAACCGGCAGCAACGGAACCACATCCATTCCAGATAACTGAATATTGATTTCTAGAACTTACTTTTGTTCATGCTTTGTGACACTACTGCAGCATGCAAAGTCCGCTGATTGTGTTTTCGATCTAGGCTCACAATTAAATAAATAATATTGAAAATCGTGCAGATATTTTAAAATTAAAATACTTAATCCAACTTTATATTTCAGAAAAATAAAATTTAATACATTTCAAGTTGTCGTAGTTATTATCACATGAAAGTTATGAATTTTTTAGTATGAGGATATATAGCTTTGAAAGTCTGCCTAATTACAAGATTGTTGCCATAATTTAAAAACTTTGTTGTATATGCAATGAACTGCCCCTGCATCAAGAAGTTCAACATTTTTGGATGAACTGTTATAATTAAATAATTTAGAATGGTTCATCAGCTAATTTTGGATGAACAGAAACACAGTAGTTTTCCAGGGGAAGAGGGTTCAATTGAGTCTGATCTGCCTCTTAATGACATTGAATCAGATTTAGTTGCATTTCTCTTCCTGTGTATTTTTTTGTGGTTTTTGTATTTCACAATTCTTTAATTCTTCTGGAGTCATTATGGATTTGGTTCTAAATTCCTTACTTTTTGTCTATTTATTAATTTTCAGCAGCATATTGTGCAGAAACAACTTGGGATAATTTGGTTTTAAAATCAAAATTTGTGATACTGTAATTTTATATAGAGATAGTATATAATTGTTTAGATTTAGAACTTATCCAAAAGGTATATATTCCATTATTTTCTTTCAATAAAACTGTTATTAGAATTTTCCAAACACTGATTACTCTCTCTCTCTCTTTTTTTTTTTTTTTTTTTTACGCTTAAATCTAAATTCTGTATTTTTTTAGGAAGGGGGAAAAAAATCATTACAAAGTCTAAACTGCCTTTTTTTCTCTTTTCCCATTATTAGATATAGCAGTTCTGTAATGGATTTTGTAGAAATTACAGCTGCCTGGCTGTCCACTACAAGTTCAGAATTAATGAAAATTAATTCATAAAAAACTTCTCATCCCTTAATTTTGTCACTCGGTGCTTCCACAAATTTAGTCTTCCCTAAATTCTGCTGTTCAGTGCCGACATATTCTGCCACTGCGTCTGAGTTTATGGTGAATAACATATCAGTTATTCTTTAATTAAAATAGCACTAAATATAATCTTTTGGCCTATGAGTTTCATTAATAAAATCTATTTTTAGCATATGAAAAGAAATTTTTGTTGAAATTTTTGTTGAATTTTTCCTTGTCAACATTTCTTAGAGCATTTGAAAATCTATAATCATCGCCAAGCCTAATGTTAGTACTAATTCCATTAACTCTTCCAAAAGTTGGAATCCGATTTTTTATCTAAGACTATGGTAAAAACTTTGAAACTGGACAATTTTCTTTGATCTGACTACTTAAATTACTGGTCAGATCAGAACTCTTTCAACAATTATATTTCAAGACATATTTCTTGACATACAGAATAACCATTTTCTACAGCTTTAATTCCTCGACAAAATCAGCTTCAGCTATCGACTGCGACAAGATGTAACTTAATGTATCGCCACTTCACTTTTTTGTGATACTTCAATAAACCTGAGCTCTTGATTTTTCAGTCCCAACTTGAGTTCTTTCAACTTTTTGTGTCTCATTAGTTCCTTGTAATTGCAATAAAATTCCTTACAGCCAGCAATATTAAAATAATGACACTTTTGAAATTCTAGATTTAAATCTGAAATTTAGGCCTATGAAATAAAACATTATGTAATGGCAACATATATAAGCAATCTGAAGAATTCTTATGTATGCAAACTTTAATGTTTAAAATATTTGTATTATGTTTCAGCCACCCAGCATATTAAGTTTTTTCCAAATAATGAATCAAAGAATTCTCTAGAATATAAAAATGGACTATGATCCATTTCATGCACCCATGTGTGAAATTTGATAGTGCTGCCCATGATTTTCAGAAACAATTCATACTGAAGGATGTCATATTTATGTTTTCTCTCTTTCCTGGAAAGATACATGGAATGCGATTGTATTTTACTGGTGTAAATTAAGGCCAGTAATCATGTTCGAAGATGAGGAATCGATTGAGATTCTCTTGGTCTTAAAACACATCTGGCACTCTTATCAGATATCTTAAATGTAAGCAGACAATTTTATTCCTGTTGCAATCCCTCAAGATGATGTGAAAATAATCAGACATGTACTGAGAAAGGATGAAGATGGCACACAGAGGAAGAGTTTTGTGGAAGGAAGCTGATGAAGATCATCTATGATATTATGAAACTCGATTATATATACAGCAACTAAAACTATGACGACAATCTTATAAGCAAGCGGGCATTCAAAGTTATATTCCATCATATCAACAAATTCCTAATTTCATGTGATAATAAATATTGTAATTTTAAAGTGTTATTTAGTTTTGTTTTTTCTAAAATATAAAATCATGGTATGGATTTTAATTTAAAAAAATTTGCATGATCTTCAATATTATTTATTTGATTTTGACCGATAGCAGATATTGGATGCAGCAATTTTTACAGATGGCATCACAAAACATGAGCAAACTAGAAATATATATGCAATCATATGGAAAATCATCTTGCTCAGAAATGGCATGCTCCTGTTGCTACCAGTTAAAAGGGATTCTACTGTATTTTGATTTATGTTGTTAGTGAAGTTTAATGTTATACAGCATTAGTACATATCAAGCAGACTGTTTTATCTTTTATTTTACAGGAAAAATACTCCAATTCTCACTTTTCTTGAAAATTTTTCGTTTAGTGTTACTGCCATATGGTTCCAATAGAAACATACTGAATACATAGACCTAAAACATGTGAGTAATTATTAACCCAAAATAATAGGACCTGAAAAGGAATCTGGACTTCCAACCAAAGTTGCAACATGAAGCTATAAATAACCAAAACAGATTTCATGTACTTGTGGTGATTCATCATATGGAGGAAATGGAAAGGAAAATAAAAATGTTCCTGTGATAACTGAAATGTATTTGTGATTTCAGAAAGTGAAATCATTTTAAATAAAATACAATACACAGAGATAAACTAATGGGACTTGACAGGGGTCAAAGCAATTTGGTTTGCAAAATCTTTAGTGATGGGTCACTTGGGTAGATATTATCAACTGCTAAAATATTCGCAGCTAGTGGTGACTAAAATGGTAGTATAATACAACTTGTAATCAGTCATTGCTAAAAGTTGTTTTATTAATTATTATGTATAATGAATTTTCAATATTATTAATCTACAAAATTCTTATTAAAACTTTGTTACATAGAGTTACAATGACTAGACTGCAAATGTATTCACTGTAGATCATGAGTTTCACATGCTTGATGTAAAATACGCATTCATTATGAAAGATGCTATTTGAAAAAAAAAAAAAATTGCAAGGTCCTTTATCTGATTCCAAGGAAAATGGTCTTAAAATTTTTCATTCAACTTCTGTACATTCATTTTTGCTACAAGAATGATATTGCATCAAAATAACAATAGATATTTCGGATAAGTATCTTAACTGCATTTCTCCACCTCGCTACTGAACATATCAAACTAGATAGATACAAGGCACTGTATCATACATAACTTTTTATTTTATTAAGTTAAACAATATGAAGGCTATTTCAGTTACTTTACGAATCAAAAAAGGCTCAGCTATGTATGATACAAACATGTTAAATTTCCAAATCTGACCTTTTCATCTTTTACAATGTATGTATGGAAAAAGACAATAATTGGAATAGCGAGCATTTTCTGTGGCATTTTGCAACTATTTGATTTTGTAGGATAGTCTTAAACTGCTTAATTATAGATTTAAAATATCAGTATAGATTTTACAGCATAAAGCTGATGGTAAAATAAAAGATACCAAATTAAATTTTATAAATGCATTTATTCTGTTAAAAAATTTTTAGTAAGATAATGTGATGCTAATAAGACTTTTGATAAAAATTACATGAGATTTGTGATTTAAATTAATGTTTATTAATTAAATTCAAATATTAGAAAAATACTGCATAATTGAAAATATTCAGAAACTGAACAACAAAAAATTTGTGTTTATTATCTCATACATATATATAAACATAAAACATATAAAATATACACTTTTGTAAAACATGCTGAACACAGTCATCAATCTGTTATCTCCTCCACAATTACAATTCTGATATATCTCCACTTAAAAAGTGAAATTATGTCAATGATCATATACAGTTAAAACTTTTGTTGATTCAAAACTGAATTGTTAAAAATTTTAGTTGACTCTAATGAATCTAAAAAATCTCAGTTAGAAAGAAATGATTTTTAAGATACTTTCAATTCCAACAATCTAGCAGAGTTTTGCAAATTTGAATTAACAATAGTTCTACTGTAATTCTCCTAAAAAGTAGATGCTTTGATGCGAGTTTAATTTCCAAGTTCTGAACACAAGATTCAATTTTTTTTTATTTTATTAAATGCAATATTTTAGAATAAGTGGGTTTAGTTTTCTAATAAATGCAATATTTTAAAAATGATTATAAATTTTATTTAATTTTTAGGAATAGCTGATTTGACATTTTAAATTTGCTGTAATTAAGCTGAAGGATAAACAAAACTACTGTAAATGATAAAAAAAGTTTTAATATTTGGCTAATTTAGATAAATCAATATCTCACAATAAATGCAGCTTATTCTTAGATTATGACGACATTTTTATGACATCCTGGACTTGTAATTTACTTTAAGCAATGAGAATATTTTTTAAGGATTTCACCTCACTGCAGTACCTGAAAATTAAAAACTCATATTCAAATAGCACCTATTACAAATAAATTAGTGTGCACTTATAAATGTGAAAAAATATCAACTGAAAGATACATTTTGAGATTTAAAGTGTGCTAAAAATTGCATGTGCAGCACAGAGTATATATTATGTCATATTTATCAGACAACTAGAAAATATCTACTTAATAACAATAATAGCTTTCCAATGAGGACAGGAAGATTTACAGAAATTGAGATCAATATGAATTACAAATTATTCTCAATTTCGACTAGGAAAAATACATAGTATTTAGTTTTCACACATGCTTTAAATACTTTATTAAAGCATTTTTAAAGACTTAGAAAACATTATATTGCAAATATTTATATACACAATACTAAAGCTTCATGATATTTTAACACCTCATAAATTTAAATTTCAATATTCTATACATATGTATAAAAATAAGCATTGTGAAAGAATATGCCCTTTCTTATATTTGAAGATATATAAAGAAAGCATAATTCACTACTTACTTAATTCACTGTTTTACATTACTTCTATGGAAATTAATTTTTGAAGAGAATACCTAAGTACTAAAAAAAGCCTATGCTGAATTTTGATAAACATGAAAAAGTATTTAGTAAAAATTAGAAAATATAAAGCATTTAATAAGAATATAAATGCTCATTTTAAACAAAAGTTAATTGCATATAAAAATTTTATAATTCATCAAAACAAAAAATAAAGTTTTACATTTATGGGCATAAAATAAGAGATAAAATATCTGAATAACATATATTTGAATTGTTTAGTACACAATATCTTTAAAAATTAGGCAAAATGAAAGTTTAGATAGGCTTTTAGAGAAAACCGTTACATATCTCTAAGGAATTTGACACAGGCTCAGCTTGCCTAATTTTAAAATAATGTTTGTCTGCTTCTTTTATATCTACAATAGATCATTCTGAAATGAAATTTGCATAAGTTTCTGTGAATAAGTGCAGTATCCTCACACCATGTTTTCAGAGTCATTTTCTATTTTATAGATTTAACTTTTGTTTCCAGCATTTAGTGCTACATTACTTCACAATTATTTGTTAAATTGTTTCATAATTATTCTGTTTCTTTTGAATCTATACAGGAAATATAAATGTGTAGCAACATATATAATTGAATATACATATATTATAATGCATTTATATTTCCTCTATAAATTCAAAACCAAATTAGTACTTTTATTTATTTACTTAAAAATAAATTATTGATAATACACTCATGTCCAAAATTATCTTTACATACCCAAATATGATGATATTCAATGAAATATCGAATCAATGTGATCTGTATTTTCAGGGAATGTGTGAAAACCAAGCCTAATTAGCATTATCCAATCAAAAGTAATCAAACGGTTTGTGATATGCAAATCTAGTCATTACGTCATCCAAGGGTGAATCAAGATCTTTGGGCAAACTGAATATTTGAGTGAATTTCTTCAACATAGCGTTTGATTTCAGTGTGTAGGGTCTCAAAGCGGTTTGTTATGGCTTCGAAGTATCATTTGGAAGAATCTGTAAAGTGGCGAATTATCTGCCTTTAGAAGCAGGGCAGTCAATCATGGAAAACAGCCACATGTCTGAAATTTCAAGACAGACAGTTCCTAAGCTATGGAAACAGTTTCAAAATGGAAGTGTTGTAAGGAGGCCTGGACAAGGTCGTAAACGAATGACAACTGCTTCTGAAGATCGGTATCTTGGCATTAACTGCCCGTCGTAACAGAAAGGCATGCGCCAGTTAAGTTCAGAGCTTGCAGCCGCCACTGGAAAACTGTTGCAATCACGGCAAACAATATACAGAAGGCTTAATGAAAGAGGCCTTTATGCAGAAAGCCAAGGGTATGTGTTTTACTGTCTTCACAAAAAGAGGGATCGCTTTAATTTTGGTGTAAAAAACATCAAAACTGGATGAACATCAATGGTCCCATGTTCTCTTTACTGATGAGTCGCGGTTTAGTTTAACTGGTGATTCTAAACGTGTTTACATCTGGGGAGTCAGGAACACGAAATGATTCCTCGAACATTGTGGAAACGTGACCGTTTCGGTAGTGGAGGTGTAATGGTATGGGGTGGAAATAATGATCAAGGACGTAACGTCCCTACACGTGTTCAGCAGCGGATCTGTGGACAGGCCAGATATATCGGGATGAGGTCTTAGATCCTTATGTAAGACTTTTCAGGGGTTGCATATGGACCTGACTTTTTATTATGGATGATAATGCCCGTCCACATCGAGCAAAACCTCGTTGATGAATTCCTTGAAAGTGAAGACATTAAGCGAATACCTTGGCCACCAAACTCTCCTGACCTTAACCCGATAGAGAACTTATGGGACTACCTTGGAAGAGCAATTGCATGTATACATCCTCCTCCTAGAGATGTAAATGCTCTGAAGACAGCATTGCTGGAAGAGTGGAGATTAATTTCCCCAAACTGTGGTTAACAACGTTATTTCCAGCCTTAAAAAACACGTTGTGATATGTGTTTACAAGTCAGGGGAGATCATATTCCATATTAAATTCGTAAGACTTAATTCTTTTTCTGAATCATTCCTTTTTTCTTAACTCTCTTTGTCACACTTTATTACCATTTTTATTGTTTCATGCTACAATTTTATATCAATATGAGGTGATCTTCAATTTTTTTCTTTTGCATTTATGTGTCATCATGTTATGTATGATTCCACGAAAATTCATTAAATTATAAGTCATAGTCTCTGAGAAATCCTTGAATTTATGCATGTAAACATAATTTTGGACATGAGTGTATATCACTATTTTATAAGCCTCTTCCCAAATGCAACTATTAACAAATTATCCTAAAGAATTTTATTAGATTTTTACCATTTATTTTAAAGAGCAATAAAGCTGTATAGAGTTCTTTAAGAAAAGATAAAACTAAAATGTTTTGAGATGTGAAGCAAAAAAATGTAATATATAGAGATTTAACATGTTTTACCAGAAGTTTTCATTGCATATGCATTTTAAACTTCAGATGATTAATACAAATAATTTAAAAACTTGATAAATATCAGGCCTGTTTTTAATAAAATTTCTGCATTAATCTTTCTCATGATAATTGAAGTTCTTAAATTTCATTGTTCTCAGCATTTTGATGATCAGTTTTATGTCTAAATAATCATTTTAAAACATGTAAAAAATGCACTTTAAAGTATGTAAAAATATGATTGAATTTTAAGTTTCACTTATAAATGTCTCCATTTCTTGATTTTCAGTACCGAGAAGTGCGTCTTCTTTTACCTGTTTAGATCCAGTAACAAAATTCAAAATAAAGCTCATATTATTACTTTTCATAGAACCTTTGGGTTCAGGAATTGGAATATCATCTAAACCTCGATGCACAGATATATTATCCATACTCCCTGTAGAATGTAACCTTGTTTTTTGAAGAACTTCAAGATAGGCTGGAGTTGTGAGTTCTTCTTTTGTAGGTTTATGATACCTATTCAAAGAAATGTAAATTGAGAATAATAAAATCAGTGAGAAATTTTTTAATAGTATTTACAATGAGCCACTAATAAATGTAACTTTTTGTATTTTTAATGAAAAAAATTTTTGACTTGTATTTTTGTACTCTGCATCACATGCTGTTAGATCAATAAAGAAATCTGACCTTTTGAAATCCAATAACCAGTTAATATCTTAAATAAATAGAAGATTTGTATTAAGTTTATTTATAAGAAATTTATTAAATGATATCAAAGGCAATTAAAAGTTTATCTGCCTATGACAAGAGATGACTTTGTGAGAGACTTCTAAATGAAACTTGCCTGTATTCACATTAAAGAAAAACCATGAAATACAGCCAAAACTGGGAACAGAACCAGGGTAAATTATTAATGTTTTGTGGATTTAACACCAGGCGACCAGTTGGCATAAATGAAGAGGGGGAGGGGTGAAGCCCAAACAATCCAGAAAAATGGGGGGATTCTTGTTTATTGCAAATATACTGCAAATTATTATTGCAGACTGAAATATATATTAGGCCAAATAAAATACAATTATTATTATAGAAACAAATCTGATTAAATTTACAAATATATGGTATTGAAATTTTTATTAGTATCAGACTGTTATCTACTAATACTATATGCACAGTTTACTGGTAGCATGAGCTACTCTTTTAGATTTGATTTTTTTTTAATAGCACCTACAATTTTATAATGGAAATTTGATTATCCTGTTTTCCTGATCTTTAATATAGTTCTGAACAACTAATATACCATTTCAATAGCATGATCGTCTTTTATATTTAATTTTTTTAATAGCACCCATTGCTTTATATGAGAATTTGACTGCCTTGCTTTCCTGATCTTTAATATAGCTTTGAAAAACAAATGTACTATTTACTGATATTTTACACTGAACACAGCATTTAAAATTTAGCTTCCTACATCTGTAATTATACACTTCTTTAAGAAAGATTTACATGCACGTTTTTGGTTGTAGATTTTAGCTTATTATGCAAAATTTCATATTTTAATGCAAGTCCTTTCTTCATATGGGGATTGTTTTAAATTTCACAAATATAATAATCTTTTATTGGGTCACAGTCTTTGACCTGGATGATACATACTGTATGTACAATCTAAAAGTTAGAAATATAAAACTCTCTGTAAATAATTTTCTTTTATAGACTTAACTGTAAATAAAAAAAAATTATAAAAATACAGTTTGGTATCCTATATAAATGGTTTTAAAATTCTTACATGGTGGTCTTTTATATAATGCAAAATATTTTACATATGTGACTCACACATTAAGGTAAAAAATTAGTTAACAAATTTAAAATGGTATTAAAAACTATTTATGCACTTTTAAATCCTTAAAAAAAGAAATAATAATAATAGAAAAACTTGAAGGACTAAAATCGTTTAGTTTTTGACAAAATAACTGCAATGATTCAATATAAAACAGATTTCAGAAAGATAAATAAATAAACTTACAGTTTAAGTAGTAATGACGAACACACAACAGACACTGAAGATGCAGCCATTGCTGCTGAACCCATCCAAGGTTTCAAAATGATTCCCCAAGGACGAAAAACACCTAAAAATTAGATAAAATTTAAAATAACTATTATTAATATATCTTGAATTGATACACATTTTCAAAATAAAAACCACATTTTTCATTTATAAGATTCTAATGCAAGTATTTACATAAATTATATGCTTACCTGCTGCTAAAGGAATACCAATCAAGTTATACATGCTAGCAAATATAAAATTATATCGAATTCTTCTAACAGTTCTACTTGAAAGATCAATAGCACCCACAACATCTAACAAGTCATTCTGGAAAAAAAAAAAAAAAAAAAAAAAAGTCAAGCAATGTTAGAAATTTTAAAATATCTGACATAAAATATATTGAAGAATACTTTTTTTTTTTTTTAATTGACAGTTCAAAATTCTATGAAATCGTAGACTTATATAATTTTAAAATATATTGAAGAATACTTTTTTTTTTATTGACAGTTAAAAATGCTATGAAAATGTAGACTTATATGAAATATAATTTACTGTACATCAAAGGAACTGACAGAGATGCAAATTTAGGATTATGCTTGTCAAATATGAATACATGAAAATGATGCAAACATTTATGTAAATACTTGCATTAAAGCTACATTTATTGATCTCCTGCCAGGTTCCTGTAATTTACAGGTTTCATATAATAAAAATTATATTTTACATAAAGCTTGAAAAAATGCATTCCATTTTACATATATTAATTCAACTAAAGATAACCAGTTTTAGCATAATACCAAAAGGATATCCTTGTTTCACCAACAGGCTAGTTATTAGACAGGGCTTCTTTTGTTATGTATTTTAAAAGCTGATTATGTGAGAAACACATTCATATTGCATGTTAGTTTATTATGCTATGATTATTTTTACACATTTTGATTATTTTTTTTTTTTTTTACCATGATTATTTCAATGTTAGACTTTTAAAATCAGTTAATTTCTGTTATGGCATGACAGACAAATCAAATTCATTTGGAATTCCATGATAACACATGTTGTGCATTCTACTCAATCTAAATGCATTTAGCACACTACCATGTTTTAAAAAATTCACTATTGACATTAGATTTTTTTAAAATATTTTATTAGCAAGCATTTATCACCCATGTAATCTGTACTGCCACTGCTTGAAACATAACATTAATTTCTCTTCCAAGCAGCCCCCCCCCCCAGACAGCCAGTTTTCAAAGTGTTGCCATTCAGCAGAGCATACAATCATTACTTTTCAAATTTTTTAAAACTGCTTAGAAAACTGACAGATTTAAGTACACATCTTAATACTTTTAAATCTTTACCTTATTTTTAATTAATATATACATTTGCGGTACAGCAATTAATTAAAGATACAGGGGTTGGACAAAAATATGGAAACACCTTTAAAAAAACATGTTTCTTTGCTTAATATGGTGTAGGAAACCCGTTGGCATCCAAAACAGCTTGCAGTCTTCTCGGAATGGATAAATACAGCTCCTGTATGTTTGCCAAGGGAATATTATACCATTCTTCCTGCAAAATGGTGGCAAGTTCAGATAACGATGTTGGCGGTGGATAATGAGAACGCACTTTCCGTTCCAATGTAGACCACAAAGGTTCGATAATATTCAGGTCTGGTGACTGTGGTGGCCAGGGGAGATGGGACAACTCATCCTCGTGCTCAGAAAACCAGTCCTGGACAATGTGAGCTGTGTGAACAGGGGCTTTGTCGTCTTGGAAGACACCATCACCATCGGGGAACATGGTTGTACCATGGGTTGAACCATGGATAAAGTTTGTACCATGGGATGAACTTGATCGGCCAAAATGTTCACATAAGTCTTGGCACTCATGTGCCCTGACACAGTTATCATGGGGCTAGCAGAGAACCACGATATGGCTGCCCAAACCATAACAGAACCCCCGCCATGTTTCACTCTTGGCAACAAGCAGTCTGTATTATAGGCTTGAGATGGCGTTCTCCAGACGTAAACTCGGCCAGAAGTGGGAAACAATGTGAAAGAAGACTCGTCAGACCATATTACTCGCTTCCACTGCTCTATAGTCTAGGCTTTATGACTTAAACACCACCTTTTCCTGTTACGGGCATTAGCATCACTGATGAGTGGCTTCTCAATTGCAGTACGGCCAGCAATTCCCTTTTTATGAAGCTCCCTTCTAATTGTTTTGGTACTCACAGGGTTCGGTAACACAACATTCATTTCAGTAGTAAACTTTTGCAGCTGTGGTCTTCTTATTTTTCGTCACAATTGCCCTTAATGATCGTCTGTCACGATCACTCAGGACACACTTTCGTCCGCGCTGTGATTTAGCAGATGATGTTTTTTCCGCTTTTCAAATATGCGGAATAAATCTTCGATACAGTACCGTCTTGAAACACTAAAACAACCTCGGCTACCTTGCTTACGGAAGCACCTACCATACGTGCTCCAACAATTTGCCCACGTTCGAAGTCTGTTAACTCTGACATAATGCAATGACAACCTCACATAACAGTACTCAGACAACAACTGAACTGTTTAGCACATTTACGAAGTTGTATAGGTGGCGTCAGTAGTCAAAAATGCCAGCGCCACCTACATATTTCATTAAAATTAATCTTTCTTTTCAAACATGCATTTCACAAGGTGTTTCCATATTTTTGTCCATCCACTGTATGTCTACATACATTTATTACACAGAGTGTTTACACAATTTTAGAATGATTTGGGGACTGCTTAATTAATGTTTAAATTGTAAAGAGTATTTTTTTAAATGCTTGGGCTGATAGTCTGCATCATGATTTCCATGACAGAAGGAATTTTTTGTAACATTTTCATGGGTGTTGATTTCCATTCCTCTTTCTCTACTTTCCACAGTCCATCAATCTTGATGAGTTTCTGCTTAAAAAGAGCTGTTTTCCAGAGACCATAGGCACAATAGTTCATAGGTAAAGCAGCAGGAACTTTGCAAGAATGCATTAAAAAGGCACATAGGCTTTACCTATATCAGTATTCATTTTTTCAGGGAATACAGAGGTACTTTCCGATGTATGACTTACTGCTTCACGAAGTTTTACTCTTTAAAAGTTCTATAAAGAAATGGAATTTTTTCTGCAAATATTGGACATAAAATTTTCTTTAATATGTTGAGTTGATTTTAACATTTTCCCCCACACTTATTTTTAATTTCCCACTTAAAAAGCACTTTACTGAAACTTTCTTTGCAGAATCAGATTTGCACAATTTTTCTTCTCTGTTTTCGAATAATAAATAGACAATTTTTAGTTGCAGTCATTTAGGTAAACCCTTGCTTTATCAAGGGTCACAATGTATTTCCATTTATCTCGTGTTAAACAATTTTCATACAAGGTTCTACAAATTATTCTGAATTAAACCATGTCTTGGCAAAAGCTGGGGAACATTATATTTTTTTAGCTTTTTTAAATTGTAAATCTTGGTTTATTTTATTTATTGTTGTTACAGATATATTTAAAGACTTTGCAGCTGATTTCTGCATTAGCAGATTTTCTCATTACCATTGATTTAAGAGATATTAGAAACAGTATGTACCTTTTTTGGGTATTTGTTTGGCATCTTCTTTCTTGTAGAAGTAATGATTGATGGTTTTTCCCTCTCCGGTTAATAGTGTTACTCACGCTGTACTTAGAAAGTTTAATTTGATGCATTTTACAATGTTTTTGAATTATGAATATTTCTCTTCGTAAAGCACAAAAACATATCTTTCAATCCACAGCATATTTACATACACCATTTTGAAAGATTAGGCTATTTGAATATAGCAAACCATGAAGGTTATCTGTCTAAGAGGAAGGATGCCTTAGTGGAAGACTTTCTGAGGGAAACTGTATCACATTTGTGTTACACATGGGGAAAATCACAAAAACCAACCACGCAGCCAGAGCATTCACCTGAGTTTGAACCCAAATCAGGCACAACCACCATTACATGATGGTCTTAACTACTTGGCCACTGGTAAGTCGCATTATGAAAGAAGAATAAATTTTAAATTAGCAGATGATATTTCTCATTTCAAATAATCTGTTGTAAAACAATTGCTTTTTTTTAAAAAAAATTCTTTATTAAAATTGTTTAAAAAAGTGTAAACACTTTTCATACATACCTATATACAGAATTAGTATTACACTCATGTCCATAAATTAAGGATAATTCGGAGTCACGCGGAAATCGATCTCTAAAATAAATATATCACCTGTAAAATCACTACACGCATCTTCAAGAATCATAAGCAGCAAATTTCAGGAAGGAACCAGATGACACCGATGGTACATCACAATGACGAGAGTGTAAGAGAGTTATAAGGAATACAGGCAAAAAAGTAAAATTGTTCGCAGGCGCTTTATAAGCATGTCAGTGCAATAACCGAATAGTTATAACTCAAAGGACGCATTTGGATGATTTTTTACGTGGTAGAATTATCAGCCGTCTGGAATGTAGGCGTACCCAACTGGAAGTATCAGACGAATTTGGAATTGGCCAGAGTGTCATCTTCAGGCTTTGGCAACGATTCTAAGATGATGGTAATGCGAGCAGACGTTACAGCATAGGTCGCCCCAGAGTTATAACGCCGAATGAGGACCGGTATTTGGCAGTTACTGCCAAAAGAAACAGGCGGACCTGTCTCATCAGCTCTCTTCAGCCACTGGTACGACAATTTCAAGGCAGACCGTGTACAGACGCTTAGGGCAGATTAGTCTATATGCTCGTAGACCTGTCAGATGCGTTCCACTTACTGCCACTCACTGTCGCCTGTGGTTGGCCTGGAGTAGACACCGCAACAATGGGCTTGTGTTATGTTTTCCGACGAGTCCAGGTTTATCTTGTAGTCTGATTCTCGCCGGACTTTCATATGGAGAGCTCCAGGTACCCATTACCACCAAAAGAAATCACTGAATGACACCGTTACGGTGGTGCAGGAGTGCTCGTTTGGGGTGGAATTATTCTGGGTTCCAGAACTGACCTGCATTTTCAAATTGGAACCATGACAAGCCAAATCTATCGGGACATCATTCTGGAACAACATGTACGTTTGTTTCGAGGCGCCATGGGCGCACAATTTGTGTTTATGGATGACAACGCCCGTCCTCACCGTGCAAACATCGTAAGCGAATGCCTTCATTCGGAGCATATCACCCGTATAGACTGGCCAGCATTCTCACTGGACTCGAATCCAGTACAGCACGTGTGGGACATGCTTGGCCGACGAGTTGCAGCCCATCAACCTCCTCCTACATGTCTACCAGAACTTCGGAGAGCACTGCTTTTTGAGTGGTGTAATATCCTCCAAGATCAGATCGATAATTTGATACTCAGCATGCCTAGGAATTGTACAGACTGTATTGCATCGTCTAGGAGACATACAATGTATTAACAATCATACCAACCATGTAATATTGGTTTTTTGTAAATAGTTTTTTTTTTTTTTTTTTTTTTTTTTTTTTTTTGTGATTTGCTCCAGGGAGAAAAAATCGCTAATTTTTTAATAAAATCAAACATATAGCATCTTGTTTTGCTCTTTACCTTTTGTTTAATAAATAAACTTTACAAATAAGTCAAATTTGTTTTGCTTCTAACTCTTCCTTTGCCTGATTTTGCATTATCCTTAATTTATGGACATGAGTGTATTATTACATACTGACAATTAGAACTTCACTGACCTAATCAAGAATTCAAAATAGAAGCATTAGGCCAATAATTTCTGTTTTTGATTTATAATCATCATAATCATATTTACAAATAAAATCTCAGAAGTGTATAATTAATTAATAAAGCATACTTCTAATAATATACATTATGCTTTATGGCTACAGAATTTTTTTAGCAAATATATGTAATTAAGAATTTCCTAACACAGAAATTCTAAAAATGATCAAAAACAAAAATTTAGATTTCTAATACGTTTTAGATATATCACGATGTAAAAATGCATTAAATGTGAATTTTATGGTTGACTGCCTAATTTATTTAATTCAGACATATTGCAAAAATAATATTCTGCAATTTCATACTGCAACCATGTTTTTTATAAAATACTTGAAGATCAGTAGTGAAATATTAAAAACATACAAGCTGAATTTAATAAAATTATGAGGCCTAACCATACAACTTTCATAGTTATTAAAACCTGTAACTAAAAAGCCTACTAAATGCAGACAAATTGAATAATTTTAGCATTATATATATATTTGATATTGTTCAATCCCAAAAAGCAACCAGATGACTAAATTTATACATATCCTGCATTTTCTCCGGTGAAAGTTTAGTATACATGAAATATGATTCTGAGAATAGAAGTTTTAAAGAATCAATGTTTCATAATACGCAAAATTAGAAATACATACTCTTATAAGCACAACATCAGCTGCCTCTACAGCAACATCAGTTCCATTAGCTATTGCTATTCCAACATCTGCTTTAGCTAATGCCGGAGAATCATTGACTCCATCTCCTACCATTGCAACTTTGAGGCCTCGTTCTTGGAGCTGCTGAATTTTCATAACTTTGTGTGATGGCAAAACTTCAGCAAAAACTCTAGAAATCCCGACCTAAATCAAAAAGGTTTTACTATGTATGTTTCTAAAGAGTAGCTATCATATTATTGACAACTTTCAATTTTTAATCCTTAAAAAAATTTTCATTTTACATTTTTACTCATTTATGCCCATTTTAGATAAAAACAAAAATGCACTCTATTGATATAACATGTTAGAATTTTTAACACAAATCATTTACATACTTACTAAATATGGAAAAGCAAATGCAGAATTAAAACTATGTAATGAATCTCAAAAGTGTGGAACAACTGAACTGAAATGCAAAATACCTATTCACTTTGAACACATAGAAAAAAAAAAAAAAAAAAAAAAAAAGTGATATATTAAACCAGTGATGTATATGTAATTCATTTTCTTTCTTTAATGTATCTGGCCCTCACTCTCCAGTATAGGAACATTTGTTTGGCCCTCGGGTAACGAAAGGTTGGACAACACTGAACTAAGTAATTAAGAAGATGCTTTACTCTTTTAGTTACAACATCACCATCTTTTGATAAAATATTAATTTTAATACTCACAATTCTACTTGCATAGTTTGGAACAAAAATCTTTGTGTTCAAGTAGACTCATTTCTACAAAGGAGACCTTTGGCAACCAACAATAATTAAAAGGCAAAAATAAGAAAAACAAACATTTCAAGAAAAACTCTTGGATGGAGTTCTGAGATTGTCTACAGGGACATCAGGACAGACAATTCATCTTGCCATTCTTACAATAAAAAAGAGAAAATGACTGGATAATATACAGGGTATGATTATCTTTTTAAGTTGCAAACACTATAACCAATGTCCAAAGAGTATCTTATATTGTAAATGAGGCATTGATTAAATGTGCTAAGACATTCTTTCTATCCAATACATGTAGCCTTCAAATTACTCATAAATAAATTACAAATAAATCAGATTATCAGATAGATAACAGATCTTCAAATTACAAATTAATAGATCTTCAAATTAAAATTCATAAATCTTTAGAATTACACATAAATTAGTGTTGATGCCCCCCCCCCATTTACCATCTACTATTACATCAGCCTTTCAGTAATTTTAACGAAGCCATTGTTTTTCTACATTTTCAGTCAGTGATATAGTAATTATTTAATTCCAGTCATGTTTAAAATGAGTTTTACATTAAAAAATCAGCAACATTTACATCGAATTGGAGTCAAGGATTCAGTTTGTTGCCCCCTGTATCATCAGAGTGATATGGATGGTGACCACCTTAAGAAATGCCCAATTATTTAAAGTTTATTACAGACAACTCTATTACGACTAATTTTTACCCTTACTTTTTACGCTCTCATAATTTTATAGGGATGCTCGTTGACTAATGGCAGAAATGGCAAAGACGGACACAGGATAAATAAATAAATAAAATAAAAATAAACTTGTTTTATCCAATAAATAGACATTAGTGAGTCAACCTTAATATTGCCAACTGAACACTGCCAGCCTAGACCATTAAAATGTAACATTGAATATATCTTGAAACAAAAACAAAATTTTGTATTCAGCAATTAAAAGTAGATCAAGAAATAAAAAACATTTGTATTAACTCTTTTTACACCAGGAAGAAGCATTATCAAAATTCCCAATGATGACTGCCATGAAACTTTTAGAAGTAATTATCCAAGCATGTAAACAAAACAACAGGCACAAAATGTAGTATTTTTCAATCAAACTCTTATGATTAACACTAACTTATAAGCTCCCACATTTGCAACCATCCAGTCGAGAGTTTCTCTGAGTCACCTGTACATTCACATATGCGCAACTTTAGCTCCTGAGTAGCTATGGCTCAAACTCCATTCCACTGGTGTAAACAACATGAATAATTTTTATGTTTTAGGTTTATAACAATAATGATGACCATACCATTGTGTGAATGCTCCCTTAGTGATTAAATCTGCCAGTGCTCATATGAGTAACAGTCACCTTAGTACGGCATGCATGTTACCTACCAGGAAAGTGTTTTATCTTATAATGACCTTACAGATCATAGATATAGTTGCCAGTCCATGGCTGCAAATATTGTTGATGAACTCACTACTTTATATGCCCTGTTCAAGGCATTGCAAGTGACTGCAAAATGCTAGGCTTTGCACCTGTTGTGTTGTTTACTTACTTGACCAGCCTTGAAAGTTTCATAGTAATTGCCACTGAAAATTCACTAGCAGCTTTCAGAGTCAGTTGGTGTGTGATGTTTTAACGTAATTATAAATAAAATGTAGATTTTTCAAATGACTTACACAAAATTTCTAACACTGATAAATTGCATTAATGTATCAAGAAATATTCAAATAAATTTTTTCAGCATCTTAAAATACCCCAAGTTTTTTCATTGAAACAATTATGTTTTAAAAATAAAAAACCCTGATTAAAAAAGTTTACAGTTAAACTTGTTAATCAATTAAGACTACTTATTAAAAAAAAAAAAAAAAAGGAAAAACTTATTCTTTGCATCCACTTTCGAACAAATTTATAATGCCTATTCCCATTTGTTTAAAAAGGAGAGAGAAAAAGGAAGGAAACAATATATACTGGATATAAAAATACAATAATAATTAAAGTATACCTGTCTAGCAATTGCAGTAGCTGTTTTTTTATTATCACCAGTCAGAAGAATTACATCTAAACCTCTTCTTTTAAGTGTATGAACAACTAAATGAGCTTCGGGTTTTATAGTATCTGCTACAGCCATCATACATACAAGAGAACCTAGAAACGAGATATATAACTATAAGTTTAATACTTAAAATCTTTAAAGATTTTTTTTAAATAAATTTTATGCAATACTATGAAAATTTTTTTCTAGCAGCTTCATTCTCACATCCAAAGAAATTAATGTATATGGTTATGGCACATATGAATGTGCATACAGTACAAAGTCCGAGATCCAGACCTCAAAGGCCACTACCAGCTTTTTATTATTATTATTATAATGAATTATATTTTTTTGTGTGTGTGCTGTACGCATGTACTAAAAATTGACTTAATTTTGCATTTTGCTAAACTACTTTTAACTCAAAACACCTGGGGGAAAAAATGAATTAAACAGTTACACATACCATCAACAGCGCACAATACAGCAGTATGACCTTTTTCTTCATGATCTTTCATGAGAGAATCCACACTCTCAGGAACATTCAATCCATTTCGAATCATCCATTCTCTGTTGCCAACTAAAACTGAGTATACAGTTTGCTGATCTCCAGCAGCAGAACCTAAGTGTAATAAATTACAAAGTCAGAAAAAATTTTATTAAAGAACACAGGGAAGACACTATTTTCAATTTTTTTTTTCTCCCTGGATTTTCAAACATCATAAAAGGGACTCTTTTTGATAATATAAAACTTTAAGTACTTTAAAGTTAAACAAATAACAAGGAATTCAACATAATTGGAAAATGGTTTCATTCAAATTCAAAATAGTTTCATTGATTTAGAATTTCACAAGAAAACAGGTAATTTGGTTACACACTTGAAATCTGGTACAATGAATCTGGCTTATTAACAAACACCTGAATATCATGAAAAAAACTCTTTTGGTCCCATCCAGCTTCCTACACATTTAATGTAATACTATAGTGAACTTCTAAAGATATGAAAATTAAATATAACAAACTATGTGAATATCTTTGATTGAAATGTTTTGCATTTTCCATAATTTTTGCAAGTTTCAATGAAATATTTGCAACCCTTCTAATCACTCTGTTAAGGATGCTAGGATCCACATTCCATCCATAAGAAAAATATCTTTACGTGGCTTTTCTTTTATGCTCAAGGACACTTTTTGTTGTATCCTAAATGAAGACTATGCAAAAAGAGGTACAACACTTAATCGTAAAGAACGAGGGTACATTAAACAAATTTTAAGACACTATGTGACATTCTTTGTCTTTAAGATATTTCTCCTTGAATGTGCAATTTCTTTGAAACAGTTTTCCACACACTGGTGTTCTTTCTCCCAATCTTTTTCTTTCAGAAACATCTGTTTTCAAATGCTGGCAAATGAATGCCCAGTTTTTTTGACAATTTATTTCCATAAATTTTGTGTTCTTATCAAACTATTTTAAAACTTTAAACTAAAGTCACTAGGTTATATCTCTCAGAGATACTACGTTTCATTTCCTAAACATTTTTACTGCAAATTAAACTCAAACTTGAACAATAGCTGAGTTACAATGTGCTTATGAAATGATAGAGGAATACAGTACCTCCCAAACTTTTTTGGTCAACAGAATCCAGTGTTTATCCTATCCTACCTAGTTGTTTGATATTAATATTGGGTGCAAATATTTTAAATCATATAATTTTGATAATTTTTAAGAACAAGTAAATGATATATTAAAGAGTTTTAAAAAATATCTGCAACCATATGAAGAAAAAAGTAGCTATTTGAAACAGTCTTTTTAAGAGATTTAGTATAAAATTAATATTTTATACATTTTTACAAAAAGACAAGATAAGATCAATATCATTCAACTCTTCAACTTAGTTTACATCTACAACTTAGTTTACATTGTTTGAAACTAGGCACTCTGATAAAGGTGTTTTAAGAAGCCAAAATTGAAGGAACACACCCCTCTAAAAACAAATATTAAAATTTCAAGTTTGAATCTGTATCAATTTTGAACAGTATGTTTTGATATTCACTTTGAATTTCTAGTTGTGACAATCATTTTAACTAACTGAAGTTCAAGTAATCAAAGTTTTAGTGTACACTCACAGCTTGGAAATTACATAATCAAAATGTATTAAAAATAGAAATGCTGCAAGGTTTACATTGATGCAAATTTCTGTTTTAATATAAATACAACAGGTAATTAAAGAAAAGGCTTGCAGATGTCTATTTTTTGCATGGCTCTTAAGACTAGAATGCAGCATTCTTATTTTCTCTTCCATGATGGGAAAAACTTTTATATGAAGTGACACCTGAGATATGTGAAGCAAAATAATATAATAATAAATAAATAAATAAATAAATAAATGTCTCACAAGAGACAAATACAGAGAACACATGGGATGATGTCATGAAGTACACATACTTATTTTCAGGACAGAACAACAGTTCTATGAAGCTGTTATTGAAGAGGCGGGAAGATATATTTATCATGCAATACAATGGTTTCCAAGTGAATAATATAAGATTAACAATCATTTGCTTAATTCTCAGGTATTTAAGTCAGCCAGTCAACAGAACACTTAAAATTGCAGCATTTTTTGACAGCTCAGCTTGCAAGATAAACCTAATGTCCCATAATCTAAACACTTGTTTAATCTTCCCATGGATAGTTGCTAATGCAGGGAGATAATCATTCTGTATTTAGCTTAGATTCCAAGTACACCAAACGAATACAATAATAGCAAATGTAACTGAATGTTCATTAGCATTATGACTTAGTAGTTTAATAACTAATGCAGCAACAAAACTCTGTGCCTGAGAATATAATAATACTTTAACTCTTTGAAATCCAGACCCTTCGCTAAGCTGTATCCTCAAAATACCCGAACCGCGAAATACTTTTCCAGTTTCACAGCAATTTCCTCCCCTTCCCATCCATTAACACAGAAAATAGGTGTGAAGATTTCCAATGACATTCTAACATAGATTCCATTAGCCTTTGACCCCGTTCTTATAAAACTATTCTGAAGGTCAGATCAACAAGCCTTTTCGGTTTTGTTATGATCACGACTTAGATTTTGTTTATTTCCATTATTTTTATAGGAAGGAATAAATTGTTTAAAAATAAATATAATTTTTAAATTTTTAAACTGCTCTTTTATTGCTGAATAAAGCTTAAAAGCACACTGTACCACAATCAATGTACCACAATCAAGAATCAACAACGAAATGTCATGATCAATCAAAAGATAAAAAAAACCTTTTAGGACAAGCTGTCTGCAGTAAACTGATACAATGCACTTGGAGAAAGTGCACCTGCTACTGCATACCTTAGCGTGAGGGAAGAAAAGAAGATTACAATCTCGGCCGTTTTCGGGCGGTTCTAGTTGTTTCAATGTAGGGCGGATTGGATGTGAAGGAGTTAAATATTTGAAAATAAATAGCAAATTAGCATAAGAACTTAAAACACACAGTACATTCAAAATAAGAAAGGAAAATAATAGAAGTTAAAAACTTACTAAACCATGCAATTCAAATCTTATTCATTGCAACAACTTAAACTATTATGACACTTTGAATTGCACTAGAGTGCCCTTGCTTTTACAACTGCATTTATTTGTGGAACACTTCCTTTTGCAATGATAGCATGTACATATAGTCCTCTTTTCGATCTACATGAGAGCATATCTGTGATTGTTGACTTACACCAGTGAGGGTCTGAAGTACAACAACAGTGATGATATGAAGACTATAATGCAATATTCGATCTTTCACCAACGTATTTGGTGAATGTTGACATTCTCCAATTCCGGTCTTTCCCGGTAACATACGAGGGCTATCCAGAAAGTAGATTACGTTTTGGAATAAAAAAAATAAACAAAGTATAGGAAACAAATTTTATTATATACAGATGAAAGCCACACTCAAATACTACTTTTCTACATAGTCACCATACAAATTAAGGCATTTATCGTAGCGATGTACGAGCTTGGAAATTCCTTCGTCGAAAAATTCGGCCGCCTGCGCCTTCAACCACTTCGTTACCTCTTCTTGCCTTCCATTTTGCACAAAACTTGTGGTAACCAAGCTTTTCGCTGATGATTTCGTGCAACAAACTTCGCGAAATTTGTGGAAAACTCAAAGAAAGTTCCGTTATTGTGAAATTTCGATTTTCACGGACTTTAGCATCGACTTTTTCGAGAAGTTCGGCGGTCACTATGCTGGGTCTCCCACTTCGATCTTCGTCGTGAACATTGGTTCGGCCATTTTGAAATCTTATGACCCACTGACGCACTCCACTCCACCTTCAGTGATAATGTTGTCCCCGTACACTTCACGAAGCTGCCGATAGATTTCTATCGGTTTACAGTTTTTTGCAGTCAGAAACCTTATTACTGAGCGCACCTCGCAGCTCGCGGGATTTTCAATTAACGCAGACATTTCAAACCGTCACAGTATCTGAACGGAGCACAGCACGAACCTCTCACTAGCACGGCTAGATGCAGACTGAGCTGCGCAACACTCTGACCCCAAGATGGCCGCGCTAGCCCCGCCCCTAGTGGACACAGACGGAAACGTAATCTACTTCCTGGATGGCCCTCGTATATATGTGTGTGCGTCCTTAATTAATATGTCTACAATAAATATAATTTCAGGATATACTTCTAAATATTACCTCAACAAAATATACAACATGGCCTGAACAGAGTCACAACACATCTTAAATTGGCTCATCTATGTGTAGAAGATGACAGCAAAAATAAATAAATAAATAAATAAATAAATAAAAATAAAATAAAAAAAATAAATTTATACATTAAACAAATCAAGAAACATACCTGCATCATTTAAATTTTCTATTAAATTGGCTGCAAGAGAAGATGCATTGAAGACAGGGATGTCATTTCTTTTACGATCAATAAAGACATTTCCAATTCCTTCATGATAAGAACTGAGACTTGTATTACTTTTCCTGGATGGATTTACAAGATTTTCAATTTCTGCTTCATTTTTTAGCATGTGTTGGATGTTAGTTACTTTGCAACGTAAGCCACAGCCAGGAACAGCAGCAAAATCTTCACATTTCCCAAATGTTTCAGTAGTTAATGCCTGTGATGAAACCATTTGTATAAAATTTCAAATATTATTGGCAGCAGAAATTAATACAGAAAACTTTTACATAAACAGTAAAACTATTTATATAAATCAAGAGAGAACAGAAACACAGAGTAAAACATAAAATCCAGGCATGGCAACATTGTATTGTCGGCAACAACATTGTATTGTTGATTTTAGGCAACATTCTATTGATTTCGAGGCCAAAGAGGTACAGAACCATATTCATCATGACTTAAGAAATCTGCAACAAAGGGAAAGCTATTTGTATTTATATCCAAAAGGAGTGAAGTAAATGAGAAGATAATGTCGTCTTTTGGCAGAAATAGTAACAAAAATTGAAAAATTAAATTTTTGTTGACTTTTAATTAACTGAATTTTAATAGCATTAGGAAGGACTTGATTGGAATTAAAGTTCTGAATTAAACAATGCAAATCTTTCTGAATGTGAAAAGCTTCAAGAAAATCCATTTGACCATTGGAAGAAGATTTCTGAATAATTTTTGCAGATCCAAAGTCAAAATCATGATTAAATTTGCAATTATGATTAGATATCAAAGACTCGCTAATTTTGCCTTTTGGGGCATAAGGTTTGTATTCCTTGATGCAAAACTTTAACATTTTTTTAGGCTCTTTTGGCCGATATATTCAAACCACACTGACAAAATATACTATAAATTTCAAGAATTAAAGTCAAAAATGGAATCTTGAAGAATCAAACTATGGGTTTTACTGATAGCCGAGAAAATGACTTGAAAATTCGAACTTCTAGAGAATCTGTACAATTCGGTAACTGACAGAAGTATAAAATACAATCATGAAAAGGTTGTTAATGATTTTTCTAACAGCAAAAATGTCATCTTTGAGAGCAAGGTGAAAATTTTTTGAAGGCTTTATCAATGACAATGGGAGAAAATTCTCAGTCAATGGCATCTGATCCCAAATAATTGAATTCATTAGCAAGCAAAGATTCTGAGGAACAAACTTTGAGAGAACGAAATACATAATAGTAAAAAGAAGCCTTTTTTTTTTTTTTCCCCTTAGCCAGGTGACATGACATAGCATGGAAAAATAAACAAACGGAAAAGATTTATGGTAAACAGTAGTGCTGAAATCAGATTCACTGCAGATTATAAGAATATCATGGAAGGAAGAATATTGTTAGATTCAGTTCTAAATGTGAACTAGTTGGCAACCAGATTCATAATATAAAATCTGGCATAAACCTTCTTTATTACCATTAAAAAGTGCAAAAGTGTCGTCTACATAGCAACTTCAGAGACAAAAAGATACTTTCTCAAATAATTTTACCACAAATAGTGTCTGCAAATGTCAGGAAGTTCGAAATTGGTTCAGTGGTTCCAGAATATATTTTGTCACTGCTATTAGATTAATGAATAGCAAAGTAGTTCATGGACAAATAGTTCATAGCCAAAGGAGCTGACATCCATGAAATAATGTAACAAACAGCTTAATATGTGTGACAGTTCTGTAGTTGACTTGAACAATTACATGCAATAAAATAATAATAAGGATTAATATTCCCAAGAAATGACATGTGAGCATTATTGTTATTATTGCACATTATGTTATTTTCACATTAGCACTTCACGAACTTAGTGAAATTACAGCTGAGATCTTGGCACAAATCTAAAAACGTCAAATATGGTTGGGGCCACTATAATAAAGAAATACCATACAATCTTTATGCATAAAATATTGTCTAAATAATGTAATTATGATACTAATGCAAACTCAAATAAGATGATTTTTTACAAAAATATAGGTACCTATTGTTTAAAAACAAAGCTTTATAAAATTTAATGTCAGTTAATACTCTGTTATACACCAATGTGCAAAACTTAAGTAACAATTTCATTTTCCAACGTACAACCATGAAATTGTTCAAGGAAATTGTGATGAGAATGATTCAAGGAAAATGTGATGATTTTTTGTGATGAGAACAATGCAAAACCAACTCAGTAGAAAAGTGATGCATATGAGAATATCATTACCATGATGTCAGAGGTATGTTGGCATGCAAAATATGAGGAGTCAGTGTACACAGTGCAAGGCAACTTAAGAAGAAGGGAAGGCACATTCAGGCATTCTTCTAAGGAATGTATGTGCAGTATGACAACACAAGAATACATCAGGACACCTTTATATGTGATAGAATAGCTGAAAGCTCAAGGAGTGGTACAGTTTGTCATCTGTGGCCACTTCTGTTTCCCAAGTTTGGGAAGCCTTCCAAATGTTAGGTACAACTAACTGCAAGAATGGTTGGTGGTGGTTGTCCAAGGAAACCAACAATGAGTAATGACTGATGTAGCACTTTGCAGATGGAAAGAAATTGAAACCAAGCAATGCACAAGGTAGGAAAACAGGCAGAAAATTCTATAAACTGAATAAAATGTATAGAATTATATGTATTTGCACAATACAAATAATTTTACAAAGTATAATGTAACATAAAACAACATAACTTATTTATTAACATAATTTATTTTCCTTTGATATTATTTACTTCCTTCGAGAGTTCCTTATTCATTTATTCTACTCATAATACAAAAGAATAATATAATTCTTGATATAAAATATTACTTTTTCAAGTATATGTAGCCTTATACATAACAATTAACCTCTAAATTATACACACATAATACAGATGTAAAGCTGGCTTAATGAGACATTGGCATTTTCTGTCATTGGTATCAGACTGTTATTCAGTTGATTTTGGATGGTATGAAGGCTAATATGTATAAATCAAACACTAAAATTGAAATAAGCTCTTTTAACTTCATTAATTTAAATGAATTCATTTGACAATATCTAAATTTAGTCCTAATAACAGAAAAGTACCAACATTTTCACAAATGAAATACAAGCAAACTGAAAAAATATGCAAAATTCATTTCCTGCATAAAATAAATATGCAGCTAGTCTCATTTTCTCCAAAAGATATAATGAAAACTATTCCACTTCTATTAAAATTCTGATCAAAAAAAAAAAAAAAAAAATTACCTAAATAATTTTTTAAAAAATACCAAAAAAAAAAAAAAAAAAAAAAACCCTCAGTTAGCAACTGACCTTTTTTACAAATGTAGTAATAGCAGCTGCAATTGGATGTTCACTGTATGCTTCTGCTGTTCCTACAATAGCTAACACTTTAGCTAGCGAGCAGACATTTTGATCAACAAAAATACTGATGTGTGTCATAACAGGAACACCTTGAGTGATTGTGCCAGTCTTGTCAAACAACACACATTTTATCTAGAAAAATAAATTCCTTAATTATAAATGCTTGAAATAATTTTTGCATTTAATTAAAATTTTTATAATGAAAGCACAATAACCATATTGGAATTTTTAATGTCTACAATGAGTGAACCAAGAACACATACACTTCATAAAACACTTCAATGATATATATTCAGACATGCAATATTTTAAAATTTTACATATACTTGGTATACTACATTATAAATACATATAATTAATTGCATTTCCTGAAGTAATCAATCAGTAATTCATTTCTTCATGGAAAGAACAAAAAGTAAACATAATTATCGCCCTCAATTCAATTTTCTGAAGTTACAAATAATGGCACAATGTCATCCTAAAACAAAGTATGCATTTTGCACAAGATACATTTCCCCATAAATTTCTGCCAAACTATGTTTGGCTTCAGTTTTTATTCATTTGAAATAATTTTTAGCACTAAAGTATAATATGGAAGAATCTTTTAAATGAAACATTTTTTATGGTGAACTATCAGCCATTCAGATGCAGGATGCCTATTCTATGCCCAGAGAGTCGTCTTTAGTTTCTTTGCTAGCAGATATTGCTACTAGTGAAAACCAGCTTTATCTAACACTGATCATTGCACAAGTATGGAATTGGTAGAAATAATGGGGGAAATGGTTGCCGTGTCATCAATCAAGTCTGAGCAGTTAGTGGTAAGAAGTTCGTTATGGCTCTGGATGCAGTTTGACGCTAATATTTTCATATTTAGATGGAGAATATAGTTTCAGATCTCTAAATGGGTGTCAAATTTATTGAAAACATGACTATGCATTTGCTCTTCCTGATAACATCTTCACTGCATGCTGTAGACTGCCAAAATTTATTTTCATAATAATACGAGTTGAGCTAGTAGAGTATCTGGAGCCACACTCAGAAAGTAGAATGTACTGAAAGGAATTATTACTCTTTATGTTTTTTCTGAAATGAAATACATACATATTTTCCTCTTTACAATGTAAGAGATCATATTTTTCCATTTTCCTGTAAAATATTTTTCTTCCACATCCTATGCAATCCTATCTTCCTATGCTATCCTTTCTTCCATTACAAATATATATATAAGATTTTGTAGTTTTTGTAGAAGATCAGACCAACTCATTGTCTAGATGTGGCCGAGAAGACTGCTGTACGTTTGGTGCAAAAACCACTACTGGCTTGATAGTTAAAACATCATTTTTATTTTGCATAGGAATAATTTTTCAGAAATATATTTTTGCTTAAAACTAGTCCAATGCTAGGATTTTAAACATGCTTTATAATTTCAATAAACATAGTTTACATTTTAGACAATAAAGAAAGAAGGCAAAGCAAGACATGTAGTTTACTCAAGCAACAGCAGGCAAGAAAAAGTAACATGTACCAACTACAGCTGTATTTATCACTGGAAAGTCTTTATGTTAATTCTCTGCACAGATTGGGCTAAAGATGTCACAATACAGAAAAACTGCAGGAAAAGAGTGACATAACATGTGGCAGAATGACATAAAATGGTGCAAAGCTAATTTTTTTTAGGTGAGGATGCGTTTAATTAAAATTTATGAATTTGAAAGTCTATTACCAGTTGGTTCTAATTAAATTTAATCATTTTGCTTCATATTTTATATTTTACGCACACATATTTAAGAGGATTATAAAGCTATAAAATATAAAATTTTTGTAACTATTATGATACTTTTACAAATGAGTTTTATTTGCATTTTTTTTACAATTTAAAACTAGATATTGATAGTTAATATATTTTGTTTCAAATAAAGTAATTGATGTCACAACTTTAAATTAAAAAGCTCTCTATAATTTTTGTAGGGTGGTAAAATAATGAATCTGTTTAAAAAAGCAGTGACCATATATTTTCGTGAATCACCATAAAAATAAATTATTCCTGTATCTTTAAAATTGATTCATTATGTATTACCAGTAAATTATTAAATGATTAAAATTTTTAACAGTGAGAGAGGCTTGAGTTTTAAAAGTCAATTATGATAATTTCATATACAGTAAATAAGACTTATTAATAACAATGAATTTTAGAAATATCAGTAAATTACAAACTTTGTCATTTAACTGAAATGATATCTGCCTACAGATTATTTTTATACATAGTTTATAACTGTATAACTTATCGTTAGTGCTAAGAATTTTTAGCAAGATGATACTATATTATTATACTATACTGAAACAATATTATAAGACTGAGAATTTCTTCATGAAATATTTTTTTAAAATCCATTAGCATTAAAAAATAATAACTGTTATATTGTAAATGACATACTGTTTCTTATTCTAAATTTCTATTAAATCGTTAGATGTATACATACAGACATGAACATATATGAATGAGGGTCTGTCTATATTCATCTTGAGAACAGGAGTGCTGCATCTGCAACAGCAGAACATATTTCCTTCTGTATGAAGTTCAATTACTATTTGATTCTTAACATCTTTACATCTGGAAGCAGCCAGAACATGAAAAATTCCAATCAATATTATAGAATATAATTGTTATTGTGGTGTAGATTGATAATATGGGAAGGAAAAACTATTGGTGGATGTATTCTTCCACATATATTTTAGACAGCAGATCTGTATCTGTACATAGCAGATCTGATATGCCCAGAGATACTTTCAAAGCTATGTAAAATGTTTTAGAGGTGCATGTGAATCTGAATTTTTGTTTACGGTATCATAATGCATATCTACGTTTAGCAAACCAGTTGGTGAATTTCTTAAAGCATAAACTGAAGCTTTGAGTTAATAAACTAGGCAGTAAAATAGCTTCACCTGAAACCCCTACAAAGTTTATGAAAGATTCTTGTAAAAGCTGCTGCACGCTGTTGCATGGTAAAATTTTACATCTTGAAAACTCAGTATCCTTTAGACCATATTAATGAGGAACTTCAAATAACCTCTTTCAATTCTATTCAACAGTTTTTGAGAAATCAGTATTTTTGTACACTTAAAAAATAATTTTGGATACGAGCATATTTTCAATAAAATTCTATAATATAACTTACTTTATGGGCTAACTCTAAGGCTTCAGCCCCTTTTATAAGAATACCATTAACAGCACCCACTCCCGTTCCAACCATCACTGCAGTTGGTGTGGCAAGTCCTAGTGAACATGGACAAGCAATTGCAAGTACTGTAAGTGCACATTGGAAGGCAAATTGGAAAGTAATTTCAGAGTCAGTAGCATCTTCTTTCTGACAATAAGAAATATTTTTATATAGATTTTGAAATACATTAACAGATAAATAATAATTTATATATTGTTTTAACATATTTGAACACAGAGAACCCAGTTATTAACTGAATGTAAAAAAGGCTTCATGAATTAAAGAACTACTTTATATAAAAACCTTCATTCTTATACTTGAAAAATATTCAAAATATAACAATATGCACATGAATTTATACCAATATATTAAGTAGTATTGTAATTTGTTTCATTATTATTTAACTGCATACAGCAAGCATATGAGGGCTATTTGCCTCAAGGAAAGAACACCTTTCTAAACACTTTTTTAAGGAAAAAATGCCCATAGTTAAAGTGAACATGGAGAAAATCATAATATATATATATATATGCTAATCCATTGATTTCAAGTCTAGATTTATTCACACAATTTTTAGATTATTTAATTCAAATTTCATTCATTCAAATTCTTGATAATTTCATTCATTTAATTCATTATTCAATTAATTCATTGACTCATTATTTCATTCTTTCACTCAATTAATGAAATAAGTTTTATTGTTTTTTATAAAATTGTTTTTTAAGTATGTGGCAGAGTTCCCACTATCTAGAAAATCCTGGAAAGTCAGAATAGAATAATGGAGAGGAAAAATAGAACCCTCCTCCTTTTTCCTTTCCAAAATGTGAGGGAAGTTTAAAAAAATACAGATTAGTTCTTTCAAATAAACATTTCATGTTTTAATAGTAGCCACTAAGCAAAAATTGTCTCTTTTAAAATGAAAAGAAATGAAGAATTATAATCTTACTGACCAAATAAATCATAATAAAGTAGCAGCAGTAGATGCATCTACTTTTGCAATTGATTAAATTATTTTGTTCCTTTAAACTTCACAGCAATGCTTTCAATTATTTCGAATTTTTTCCCCAATATTGTTTGGAAAGAAAGTGTGTTGAGCAGTATGAATAAAATAAAAAAGAAAGGTAAAATTATAAAAGAAAGTAAAATACTTTGAAATTATGGGAGGGAAAACTATTCAGAAGATCTAGAATTGAAACAAAAGGGCTAGTTTCAATTGTAGATTTTCTGAATTCTTTTATAATTTTACGTTCCTTTTTATTTTATTCAACACAGTTTCTTTTCAAAGAAATTAAAACATTGCTCTAAAGTTTAAAGGAACGATATAATTTAATCAGTTGTAGGAACACCTACTGCTGCTATTTTATTTTGATCTGCTCAATAAGATTATAATAACTCTTCATTTGTTTTCATTTTAAAACAGACGTTTTTTATTCAGTGATTACTATTAAAACATGAAGTGCTTGTTATTTGAAAGAAATTATCTGTATAAGATTTTTTTGCACCAATCTGTACTGATTGATCTTTTTAACTTCCCTCACATTTCGAAAGGGGAAAAAAAAGGGGGTTATATTTTTCCTCATCACTTTCCTGACTTTCCAGGATTTTCTAGACAGTGAGAATTTTACCAGAAACTTAAAAAATAATTATGAAACAGGTTTAACATATATTAGTTGCATATTGAGTTATTTCTCCTAATAGTCAACATATTCTCAAAACCATCTGTTTACCTAACTCTTATCTTCTTTTACGAAATAAGCTAGTTCACACAACATTCAAACATTTAAAATCAATACACAAACAGCTCAATTTTCTTACATTAGGTCAATATTTACCGTATATACCCGCGTATAAGTCGACCCCCCCACTTCGACATAAAAAATTCATAGAAAATAAGAAACCCGCGTTTAAGTCGACCCCACACTTCTGAAATCAATCGAGAAACTTCAAAAAAATTTTTTGAAGTACTACATTTATTCAAAATCATCTGAGAAAAAAAAGTAAATATACGATAAAAAATACCTTGGTAAATAAACAAAATCAAAATCCTTCAACGTCCGATTCATAGTCAGATTCGCCAAACATTTCATAGAACTCTTCTGTCGTCATTGGCTCGTCATCATACATATTTTCAGTCTCGAACTCTGTATTTCTCTGTACTATCTGCATTTCGCTTTGTTGGCGAAACTTTTTTATTGCTCGATAATGATCGGTTGTCGGAGGCCGAAAATTCTTTGGTTTAATTGAAACTTACTCTAGTTAAAGTATGAAACTCTGTGATTAGTTCGTCACATAATTTAAGTCATGAAATTACTTCAAGTAAGTGAATTATTTGATAAGTCGTCCAATTTGAGTGCGGGAAGAAAACAACTGCATTATATAAAGAAATTTTTGAACTTCCAATTCTTTTAATTTTTTATGGCCCCGCGTATAAGTCGACCACCCCACTTTGAAGTTTTTTTTTTTGATCAAAATATCTCGACTTACGCGGGTATATACGGTAACTATTTTACTGGGCAACTCTACACTTCAAATATGATGTACATAGCTTTCAATCTTCACTAGTCACATAATAAAGAAACATTGTAACTTACGAAATTAAAAAAAAAAGAAAAAAATATACTTATTAAAAAAAATCATTCCTTTTAGATAACTCTTCAATAAAAAATATTTACATTCTTAAATTTAACCTTTTGATGGTACTTGAAAAGAAAGACTTAACTTATTTTTTAAACGCCAAAGGGTTAATATCTAATTTTTCATGCATTTTCTAAACTAACTAATTTTATAATTATGCAGTAAAATTTCTAAAGTACTTTTTCATTATATATACTTAATTTAAAATTCCCAATTACATAATATCAAAAATTTCTTTAAAAAAAGAAAAAATCTTACATGCTTTTTATGAAATGACTTTATAGAGTCAATAGAGAAATATCCAGCAATTATCCATCCAATTAAAGTGATAAGAGAGACAGCTACTACGACAGGTACAAAATATCCAGCAATTTTATCTGCTAGTTGTTGAATAGGAGCCTGAAGAAAGATGCAGTGCAAACAAATATTATATGTAAGGTACAAAAGAATTAAGCATAAATACAAAAAGTGAATACATTATGAAAAATATGAAGTTTTAAAACAAAAAATAGTAAGAATACTAAATATAGGATATTCAATGGAATTATTCATTGGAATAGGATATTCATTAGAATTCCATGGATATTGAAAGAGATTTAAGATCTGAAAATTCAAATCTTCATGCATTTCTTTTGTTATTCAAATCTTTCTAATCCTAATTAAAAGCCACAACCCAATATCATCTCTGTGTCACTTTTCAGTACTGTACTGCAAGCATACTTTCAAAATCCTTTAGAACAAATAAGCTTGTTCCCCACCCCAATTTCCTACAGAAAATTTAATGCTTCATACATACTGCTTGTCTATATTAAATTTTTAAAGCTGGTGGTACAACTGTTGTACCCAGAAAATTATTTCCTTCGACACCGGCCACAGTACAACTGTAATATCAACATTTCCTTCCCTGTTTTAATCACCCTTTAGATCTCAGGGTGGTCTACCCTTGTTGCTCAGATTGAGCTACTCTGAAAAGCTGGTTATGCATTATTTCCTATTTCTTGTCAGTCTCGCTATGTTTTGACAAAAACTACAGGTTTCATCAGGTGCCAGTATACTTGAAAATCAAATAGAAGCTTATTTCTTTCTCAAATATTAGAACACTGTATCATAATTTTAGTGTGCTAACTTTTTTCCTTGTGCTATTCAATTCTTATAACAGCACCTTGTTTAAAGGTCTCAGTCAATACAAAATTAACAAGTTGCTGGGTGATTTGGATAAGAAAAATTTTGCAGATACCAATTCTGACTATTTAGATGCAGATGAAATATGTTTTAATCAATCTTTTGAAGACAATGTTAATAATTTACTTGAAAAGGCAGTCTTAAGAGCATGATAGAGCTGAGATTACTGGGGGGGCAGGGAAAAAATTACATTTAGAAGATTCTAATGTAAAGCAATACATAATACTGAATTTTTCACATTTAACTACCTCAGTTTAGGTTCCAGTGAATGAGCCAGCTGTATGGTCTTTTTCCCAGTTTTCACCATGAAAAATGTGAAAGTGAGCCAATTATTTTGGGTCTTCCATGAAAGCATCACTCTCTTTAGGAAAACCCCCTACTGTACTTTGGCTTGATTAAATATTCCAATTTGTGTTTAAGTTTCTTCCCTCAGGCCAGTAAATATTGCATTTAGTTACACTGTAATAACCAGTGGCTATGCAGATAAGATCCCTGACAATCCAAATTTCAACACAAGCAAATGAACAGACTTCATAGGCTTTTTCCCCATGTGTAAGAGTGATTATAAATCACTTTCTCTCCAAAAGTTCTTGATGAAAATTAAGGTGGCATCAATTAATTAAGACAGAGCAACTCAAGGGCTATCTGTATGGGAAGAGATGCCATAACATAATACTTCGTAAGAGAAAACTAGCTCATATTCATGGTATACCTGAAAAAAGCCATAAAACCTTGCATGTTTGCCTGGATTTTAACCGAGGTCAAACTACCAGTGTCCAATGATCTCCCCTTTGTGGGTTTCCACGAAAGCACTCCTATTTTGAGGCAACTAGTCCTAGAGTAAGCAACGAGCATTCCATTGTTAAATGAACTGAATTTTTTTTTTTATCAGGCTAATAACATTTGCTGCATATGCATATATATGATGCTATGATTAACACTTCACCAATTTTGTCTGCTGTTTGAGATTGCTAGATTTAATGTTTTTAAAGACCCTTTTACAAAGTAGATAAAATTATTTTTATCATTTACGTTCCGTTTTATACTTGAGCGTTATGTATAAGATGTTATTTTGCCCCTTTTATTGGTTGTGTATAAAAACATTAAGTACTGTTCACTTCGCTTGAAGCTCTTCTACTATGTAGGCAATTTTGTCTGATTTATCAGGAGATAAAAATAAAGGACAATCAACTGCATAACAGTTTTTGTCATTTTCATTCATTGTAAATTAAATAAAACTGATTTATCTTTAGATACTCTTTTAAGATGGCATTTCCCCAAGAGTATTTAGGTATCAACAAGGCTCATATAACTCCTAAACTGAACTGAAGCTTCAGTTACTTTGCATAAAATTTCAGCCAGTTTTAGTTTATTGAAACTCATACATTTTTCAAGAGATAAAGAGAATTCAGATAAGTTGATCCATAAAAAATGTTTTTTCTTTAAAAAAATGAATGTTATTTTCTCTGTAATAAGGTATATTCCAACTCACTATTAAATGTATAAGAAATAGAATTGAATTACGGCAAAGCACATGAAACATATCCACTTAAGGGATCGGATGCTTTCGTGGACACTTTTTAACAGAAAATTGCTCATATTTATGTTCCTGGTGGAAAATTCCATATGTAATCAGCCCATCCTCCAAAAATAACAAAAAATAACCCCTCTCCTCCAAAAATAACAAAAAAATGCCTCTTAAAAATTAATTTTTAGTATTACTGCATAGAATATAATTATTTCACCATAAAAACTCATTTTTAGCTGTACATTTTAGGACAATGTTGATTTATCAAGAGATCTTTATCCACTGGAAGTAACTCAAATGGTTTTTGTTCATACAAAGTATGCCTATAACTTTCTTGTATTATTTGTCCAGGATTTGTATTTCTTGTATTATTGTCCAGGATTTGATTAGCTTGATTTGGATCGTTTACTGGATTATGACAAAATACATGACACATAAGAGTATGGATGCTATCATAGAGGACTTCCTAAGCGAAGCTGGATTGTAGCCATGTTATGCATTATGAAAAGCATAAGAATGTCCATAAATCCAACCCATTCACTGGGATTTGAACCCGAGCGAGCTACCAATGTTCAGCCACTTTGTACAAAATTAAGGAAAATTATTAAGATAACGGTTTAATTTACTAACCTATATTTATTAATCAACAGCACATAAATTAGACATTTGAGATGACTGTGAATAAATAAACTATATTGCACTTTTCTCAAATATTTCATATTACAATGGAATTATTACATTTCAAAGATATTTCTCATGAATTTATTTTCTTCTCTTCATGATTTTTTATTTTTTTAAAGAGAAAATTTCACACTTTAAATAGGAAATACGAGAAAGGATACTTTATGAAACATTTTTCATAAACAGTTTTCTTAAATTTACTTTGAAAATATTCTAGGGTAAATGTTTTGATCACTGGAAGAAATATAAAAAATAGGTTTATTACATTTGAAATGTAAACACCCAGTATACCATTATTCTTTTGAAAATATGAAAGATTAATCTTTTTAAAATAAATTAGAAAATTTATTATGTAGAACATACGTACATCCATCTCATTTAAAATCAAACAAAATTCAACCTTTGGATACAACGATGGTTTTAGACAAATTATTCTGCCTATGACAGAAAACTGATGTCGAATTCTTCTTGATAAACATTTACAACTGTTCTGAAAAATATTTTTAATGAATTCATGTTTTCTAAATGTTAAATCACAAATTGAAATTCTCTTTAGAAAATATTAAAATGAAGCTTAAGAGTGTTCTCTCTCTCTACGACACCACGGAAATAGAAAGATTTAAGAATTAGCTCTTCAGACTTCACTTCACTGCAGGTATACTGCAGATATAAAGGGATGTTTAAGAGCCGTATTGTATCTAAGGTATGTTAAAAAAATCGTTAAAAATAAATTTTTAACCCCTCTCCTCCAAAAATAACAAAAAATGCCTCTTAAAAATTAATTTTTAGTATTACTGCATAGAATATAATTATTTCACCATAAAAACTCATTTTTAGCTGTACATTTTAGGACAATGTTGATTTATCAAGAGATCTTTATCCACTGGAAGTAACTCAAATGGTTTTTGTTCATACAAAGTATGCCTATAACTTTCTTGTATTATTAATGTAAGGAAGTACACAATGAAAGTTATAAAATTCTTAATTTAATATTTACAAATTTAGTAGAAAATTATGTATGAAGAAATTAAACTTTAATTTGTTTATAAAATGAATCTCAAACTAACTGCACTAACAATTTTTCAAGCTGAAGATAAAAAGGTTTACCCGTAGTAGGCAACACCCCCCGTAGAGTGTTGCCATTGCTCGCTTTTAAATCGTTGAGTTTGTTACTCAAAAATTCATTAAAGTTTTACAAAATATGAAATCGATAATAAAACAAATTCCAAATTTCAAATTTGGTCTTTAACATGCCCATATTTGTAAGAAGATTACGTCATTCAAAATTCGATAACTTTATGTACCGTTGTTTTATGACAATGCGAGAAATATGCATACATTTATGCAGATTTTTCATTATTTAATTTCTTCAAATATAATGCAGGACTCTTAACATTTGGTGGCAACAGTTTGAAAAGTGACTCGCCATTTATAGCGATTCAATGCAAAATCGTAAAATGAAAACAATAGTCCTTCACGGACATAGCCCCTTTGGGCTAAACAAAAATTAGGGTTAAGTTTCCTCTGTAATCCTGCAAAACTGTCATTTTATCTCAGTGCATATAATCTAGAGATGCAGCTTGCACTCTGAAATTGTAGTTATTTCGAAATTGCAATCTATAAAATACATATACAGTGAAACTTCGAGATACAAGCACCTCTATACACGAGAAATTTGAGATATGAGGAAATTATGAGAGAAAAATTCTTCTCTAAATACAAGCACTGACTCGAGCAACGAGCCAGGCTGTTGGTATGCGTGGCGCATTTCTCGGTACGACTTAACTCGGGGAATGCCCTCGTCAGATCACTCGGTGTGCTTTGATCTACGTGTTTGTACGCTTGCGAGTTAATTGTTTTTTACATTTAACGCGAAAATAATTATTTCTCGATGCTTCCCAAAAAGATTGTTTACTCAGATAGTGCGGCAAAGAAAAAGAAGGAAGCCATGGTCGTTGAAATTAAGAAAGAAATCATAGATAAATTTAAGCATGGTGTAAGAGTGATGGAATTGGTGAAGACTTACGACTGTTCAACATCAACGATCTGGACTGTTCTAAAGGAGGAAGAAATTAAGAAACTTGATATGGCCAAAGGCGTTACCGTTACTTCCAAGCACCATCCAAAATTCGTAGACGATGTCGAGAAGCTGTTGTTGGTGTGGATTAACAAGAAGCAGTTAAAAGGCAGGCAATTTGATGTCAGAAGCTCTCATTTGCACTAAGGCTAAGAATCTGTACTTGAACGTTCTCAAAAAAACACCAGGTACAATGACTGAAGATGGGATGGCATTTAAGACAAGACATGGATGGTTCGAAAAATTAAAAAAGAAAACCGGTGTTTAGAGTGCTGTGGGACAGGGGGAGGCTGCGAGCTCTGATACAGCAGCAGCTGATACATTTCGTCCAGCGTTTCTACAATTTATTACTAGTGAGGTGTTTCTTCCCCACCAAGTGTTATTTGTGATGAAACAGGTTTTTTTTGGGGGGGGAAGAAAATGCATAAGGCCCTACATCACACAAGAAGAGAAATCTTTGCCTGGCACCAAATAAGTGAATGATAGGCTTACCTTCTTGTTCTGCACCAATGCAAGTGGAGATTGTAAAATCAAGCCATTGCTCATCTGCCACTCAGAAAATCCACGAGTTTTCAAGAGGAGGAAGGTGCAGAAAAACCAATTGAATGAATGGCGGGCCAACAGCAAAGCCTAGGTAACACAGCAATCTTTCATCGAGTGGATCAATGAAGTTTTTGGTCCCTCAGTGAAGAAATAACTTCATGAAAATAAGTTTCCACTCAAGGCATTGTTCATTTCTGATGATGCTCCTGGCATACTCCAGGGCTAGGAGATGATTTGCTGGAGGAATTTCAGTTCATAAAATTCAAGTTTCTTCCCAACACCACTCTACTTCTCCAGCCTATGTACCTGCAAGTTATTTCCAACTTTAAAAAGCTGTACACGAAGGCCTTGTTTCAAAGGGGTTTTGAAGTGACCGAAAATACAAGCCTGACCCTCAGAGAATTTTAGAAGGATCACTTCAACATCCTAAATTGTTTAAACCTCATTAATAAGGCTTTGGAAGAAGTCTCAGTGAGGACCCTGTATTCAGCATGGGAAAAACTGTGGCCTCAGAGTATTCCTGACTTACGTTTTGATCCTCAACTTGTGGACAACACAGTGCAGTTAGTCGAAAAAAATGTATCTCTGGGGAAAAGTATGGGTCTGGATGTGGATGGTGCTGATCTGGATGAGATAGTGGAGGAGCATAGTGAAGAACTTACAACAGATGAACTTAAAAAACTTCACAAGAAGCAGCAACAAGAGGTGGTAGAAGAGCTTTCATTTGGGGAGGAGGGAACATGAGATTTGTCCTCTCTTCCAGTAAGATTAAAGAAGTGGGAATAAGTGAAAACTTTTTTTGAAGAAATTGATCCTAATAAAGTAGTAAGTGGATGTACCATGAGCTTATGACAATGTAGTGTCACATTTTAGAGGCATCATAAAAAGGACAGAAGCTAGTGTTACTAAATAAGTTTTTGGTAAAGTACCTGAAACTAAAAGAAAGTTAAGTGATTCTGATCCAGAACCTATTCCAGTGGAGTAAAATTCCCAAGTAAAGAGAGCCTTCCTGAATCAGTGGGAGACTCTCCTTCCCCACAGGAACCTGTTTCATCTTCCCAACATCCCTATCACCGGTCAGGACTCATAAAAGTACACAACGATTATATTATTTACCACAACAGTTATTTATATTATTTATATTATTTATTAGGAAAACTGATTTTTATGTTGATATTTTTGGAGTGGGTGTGTGGAATGGATTAGCAGGATTTCCAGTATTTTCAATGGGGGAAGTTCGTTTTTAGATAAGAGAAATTCGCTGCTCAACACTGGAACATATTAAACTCGTATCATGAGGTTCCCTGTACTACATGAAGAACATCACTGGAGATATAATTCCTATGAAATGAAATTGCTAAATAATAATGCTATGTATTTTAGATACAAAAATATATAGAATATAAATAATAGCAAAATTAAGGAAAAAGTTCCCAAAAAATTGCAAATACTGACAAATTAAAAGATTTTCTTTTTCATGATATAAAGAAAAGTTGAAAGTAAATCATAGATCAACTCATTTACCTTAGATGTTTGAGCTTCTTCAACAAGTTTTACAATTTGAGCCAAAGTTGTATCTTTTCCAATGTGAGTTGCAACAATTATTAATACACCAGTTTGGTTAACAGATCCCCCAATCACCTGAGATTTTGGACCTTTTGGCACAGGTAAAGATTCCCCAGTTATTAAAGATTCATCTGCAGTGGAGCTTCCATATGCTACTCGGCCATCAACTGGAATTTTAGCTCCAGGTACAACCTAGTCATAATGAGAAAACACACCATTACTATACTGTCATATGCATTTTTTAAAAGTGATTTCTTTAATTTTGAATTACCATATGAATTATTATACACTTGTATAATTGTACAACAGCATCCTTAAATAACAAGATCTAATTCAATTAATAACATAACACTAAACAACTAAAAATACCTATATTTTAGAAAATAATGTGAAACTCCAAACATGGCTTTCAAATTATCAAAGCATCAACTTCTCAAAAATAAATAAATAAATAAAGACTTGAAATACTGAACTGAGTGAAGTTGATTCAAAGAAACAAGTTGGTACTTGAAAAGCTTGCACTTTTTAGAAAAATTAATGGTTTCTAAAGGAATAAATCTTTCCAAGATGTGAAATTAAACTAAAAGCTTAACACTAATTCATGACTGAAACTAATTGATTCTTCATACCATAAAATAAGAAGGTTCTGTAAATGAAGAGATAATAGTATTGGATTTTATCGAAATTATTTCTAGTGTTTAAAGTCTGAAAATGGAAGTGACAAAACATAGAAATGAAGATTCAGAAAGACAAAATAGTAAAGGGTTTGAGATTTTATCAGACTAAGGTAACCTTCCTATGGTGACTCAAGCCAGCTCAAAAACAGAAAAGGAAGGTAAATATGAAACAGTAAAAGTGATGAGGATGAGGCTTTGGAATGTATAAGAATGAGACTGCATGGGTGAATAAATTGATTTTGAATACAGTGACATCATTTCTGCATTGCCCGTTATAAACTGTCTGCTACATTTTTGCACTGTCTGCTATACTGCCCAGAAAAATATCAATATAACTGTCATGAAAAAGAATATAACAGATTTTTTCCAGGAAAAAACTATACAAGTATAAATTTTATTATTAATTTAATTAAAGCTTATTTTACTAAAACATTAGAAGTAGTTCATTTAAAACCTCTGAAAAATTCTCTATCTAAGCACCTGTGCATTGATTACAATATTACATGGCCCTATTTTTACAATTTGTACATTATAGTACAGATCATCAGTAATTTGAAATAATGCCTTGGAGAATTTCAATACATTAAAAGCACTATTCAAATTTATAAATTATCAGTTACATATATAATGCCTCAGTATAATGCGCTAAGTAATACTAGAATTACATCCACATTAAGCTTAAAATATAAAATAATAAAAAAAAATATAATAATAAAGTATTTGGGGAGGCTGAGCATTTTTCATAAAATGAAAAAATATCTATATATGTATTTGGTAAACTTTAGAAACTATTTTCATGATTTGCAGTCAACAAACAATAATTGTATGAACGTATGCGTAGACAGGGATGTACCATCCATTTACAAACTGATTCAAAGAACAAATTCGCTGTACTGAAAGAGTGAACAATGATCCCACAAAACTGCGTGGTACCTCCTTTGAGAGCTTCTGTTCAAAATGACCAGAGACATTCGATTCCCATTCTAAGAAAGAAAAGAGTATGTCTCTTCTGTAATGAAAATGAGTTTAATTTCCTATCATTTTGAACATTTTTTATTCCAGAATTTTATTGTTAGTTCCATGTAGAAAAAAGAGGTTTTAGGGAATCTCAAAACTAAGTCGAAAGAAATCAATCCGAGTCAGCGATTCCATCGAGTTGATTCTTTCGATTCCTCTCCTTGTTATATTATTTTCCTTCCATTCTTGCATGTGATTTGAGTTATTCCTTACTCTGAATCTTACTGTTAAAGCAAAGAATTGTAAAAAGAAACTGAATCAGCTCAGTCAGTAAAAGGCTTTGATCTCATCCCATAAAACAGCAGTTTTGCTCACCTCTAAGTGCTGATAAATTCTTTGCATGAATATATTTTATAAAATTCTTTTTCAAAACATTATTTTGCATTTGGCTTTTATTATTTTGCATAAAATTAAACATTTAACCAAAGGTAATGGTTTTACTGTAATCCATATTTTGAGCTTCAATGTATTCTTAGCTTCCAATACCAATCAGTTTGAAGATACTTTTTTCCTACAATGCCACATCTGTTTCATTCTCTAAATTTCTTTCTCAATAATTTGTTTATAACTAGGACACTTTTCCATGTCACACATGGTTTTAGGGAATATTCATTATATTAAAACAGTGTTTCCCCAACTGCTGTATCATGAAGCTCCACTATGTGTATTGCAAAACTTTCAAAGTTAGGTATGCATTATTCATATTGAAATTTATTCCACAATAACTAATTTCCTCAAAATGGTTCTCCCTAATTTTTCTGTGGAAGCAAATCACACATGGAAACATGAGGAAGTACTCTCTGCCAATTGATGCAGAACATATACTTCAGAGAGACTGATAAAAACTGAGCTTGAAATCCTCCCGTTTTGCTGTTCACGAAAATGTTTAACCTTTTGATAGTCATCAAGGAACTCAGCTTGCATTTCAGTTATGCACTGCAGTGGGTGCAAATGAACACAGTCCACATTCTTGAATAACTTATTACAGGTTTTCATCAGTTGTTCTGCCTTTCTGAGATCTGCATCTGTTGTAGATGTGCAGATAATGTTGTGTTAATCCTCTAGATCAGTGCTCCGCAACCGGTGTGCCATGAGTAGGATATAGGTGTGCCGCAATCAAATACATGTATTTGACATTTTGCAATTTTTTATCATGTATTTAATACACAATGACAATTTTTTTCCTTAATAATGTCTATTTTAAATGTTTTTATATATTTCACTGTTGTATGGTTGTGTGTGTGATTGTAAGTGTGTCAGCATTTGAATTTTTTCAGCACTTCCTTGATAACTCGGAACTCGAAAATATATAACTTTTTTTAAGCGCAGGTATCACATTGATAATTATTATGATTGCATATAAATAAATATGTTATGGTTTTATAATTGTATATTTTCAAATTAAAAACAAAAATTTATTGTAAATTTTGTGTATAAATCAATACATATATACATTAGCTTTTGGTGTGCCACGAAATTCCAGAAAGATTTTTTGTGTGTCGCAGGTGAGAAAAGGTTGCGGAGCACTGCTCTAGATTAAACCAACTTAGAACTTGCTACACCGCACTGTCATATATGTCATACTTGTAGCACCATTCCCATACACATCCCACATCCCATTAGAACTTTTGTTTTTTAAAAAATAATGTCACATTATATGAAACAAATGCTTTCTTTGATTTTTCAATATTTTAAAATCAAACAAAACAATGTTTATAACTCTTTACTGAAAACACAATGTATTCTACAATAATTAAATGGCAACAACAAAGAGATGGGGCTGAAAATTTACATCAACATATAAAATAAAGTAGCTGCATGCAGATCATAAAAGAAATTTTTAGGACAACCTAATGCATTTCTACATAATTTATATTAGGTCATTATAAAGATGACAAAAACTTCAAAATTTATAACCCCACAAAAACTATTCAAGACATACTTTTAATGTATCACCTCGTTGAACAAGTTCAACATCAATCTGCTTTTCATTCAATATCTGACCATACTCATCAACTTCAACCAATGTGGCTTCAGTAGCTTGAAGAGATAAAAGCTTTGCTAAAGCTTCTGATGTTTTGCCCTGATAAAGCATTAAAAAGAAAGTTAAAATACAGCAAGGTAAAATAATACACTTCAATTTCTAATATGTTTTTATCAAGTTAGTCTTTGTGTATATCTACATATTAATTTTAATTTTATCCAAGAACAACAAATATGCTTAGATAATATGAAAAATGCAGCTATAAATGGTATTCGTCGGTTTTACCGGAGGCCAAAGTGCCAAGGGAAAAAAAAATGTAGCAAAGTTCAGATGTCATTAATTTTTTTTTTTTTCAAACAATGGAATTTTAATCAAAATAGGGAAGAGGGAAGAAAAAAATGAGGTACCTTTTCAAAAAAATATTTAATTCCATTCTTAAAAAAAGCTGTGTTTTTTCACAATATTTTGCATAAAATTGCCCCTTTCTAAGAAGAATGCAACATTTATTTTCCCTTGATGTTCAGATGAAAATTGTCATAATTTTTAATCTTGGGGGAGATTATTTCATAATTCTTATTAATTGGTATCAGTTATGGTCATATTTTTGCTACATAGTTTGGCAATAAATGCAGCCAAACTTTGAAATCACTCAGCGGTCATCAGTAAAATTGGCATCTACCCTTCAGTCTTTTATAAATGAACAGCTATTTTTTTTTAATTAACAAGAAAGGTTTTGCAATAAGGCATTAAACAATCTTAAAAACTAAAGAAAATATATTATTTATCTATTTTTAAAAAACTCAGCATATTTAAAGAAAGAGAGAGAGAGAACATTTTTATATCTGTTGTTTAATTCAGAAAAGTAAAATCAAAAAGCAAGGCTCAAGAAGGTCAGTAGAATATTTGAAGCAGAATTTATCAGTTTTCATATTCTACTAATTCCTGTAACTTTTTCCATCAAAAAATTTACTAAGCATCAATAATAAAACATTATTATTGGATTCTTAAAAAACACTAATTATACAAACCTTTGCAATATGTTCCAACCATCTTCCTAATGATATGAAAATTAATAGCATAGGAGGTGTTTCAAAAAATGTTTTCGGGCTCCGATCAGCTTCCACAATTGTAAAATATAAGAGAGCAGCAACACTATAAAAGTAAGCTATTGTTGTGGCTAACATAATCAAAACATCCATGTTGGCAGTGCGATGTTTTAAAGCTTTAAAAGCTTGCACATAGAAGTACCTTCCACCATAAAACTAAAAATATAATACAATTAACAATTAATTAATTAATTATGCACAAAGACATTAATAAACAGTTATAAAAACAGGAAGTTTGTCAAGTATAAAATATTTGCATATCACAGTCTTGAATTTTCTGACTTAATATTGCTAATTTACAATTCGGGTGAGTTAAAAAGGACATCATTTAAGTTTTGAAATGCAAGTGGCAACAGCCAGTAACAGCAAAATACAGCAACTCAAAAGATGACCAAAAACATCTTCCCAAAGTAACCACAACCTTTAGCACCTGCATACTCATTTTAGACAAAGGAAATCATAAAATGGAAAAGAAATGGTCAGAATGGAACCTTGTTTCTAGTCTTAGATTACAGATAATCTCTCAGATTCATACGTTCTCAACACATCCTAACTTAACAGCTATCTAAATACAGTGGTAGAGAATTTCAGCTATCAGTTTTCAGAGAATATACAATTCATTATTTTTTGTATATTTGTACTTCTCTTGGTTTAGGTTTATTTGATTTTAGTAAAGCATACAATCTGCCCAAAGACTTTAAAAGTCTTCCATGATGGCATGTCTCATTTTAAGGGAAACTGGCTTGCAGATATATTACATACAGGAAAAACCATGAAAATGCCCATTCAAACAGTCTGTTCACCTGGAATTGAACCCAGGTCAAAGTCCCAGTATTCAGCGATTTTACTGTTTTTCCACTGGTGGGCATTCAAACTTCGTTAGTAAATCCACTTCCATTCTATTCTGACACTCTCGCTATTCTCATTAGTGCCACATTATTGCAGCTCTCAAGGTCAGAAAGTTTTTATTCATCATTACAATGGCCCCAATGTGCAACAATGATAATATTACCAGTAGTGCTTCTAAGATAAGTCATTTCCATAAGCATAAAATTTCTGGATATGCTTGAAATAGGAAACAAAATATAAATGAATAATCATACATAATAGTAATGTATTAAATTACAAGAAGCCTTATTATCAAAAAAAAAAAAAAAAAAAAAAAAAAAAAGATAGGATGAAAAAGTAAATAATGACTTTTAAAGGCAATGACTCCATGCTTTAAGGTAAGAACAAACTTCAAAAACATTAAAACCACAGGAGAAGATACTGCAACTGGTAATGAAGCAGCTGTCATGTTTTCAGTCAGATTTTAGAAGGGAAAAAAATCAAAGAGAGAAATTATGATGCTAGATTTATTTACATTTATGATAAACTTCGGAGAGAAAGGGGAATACCTGTCAGGACTTATAGTCACAAAAGTGCAAAATAAATCAAGATTTAAAGTTTGTAGGCATAGACTAATACCGGTAAACAGTATCTCAAATAAGAATGAAACAAAGTGCTGATTAAGTATGACTCATAAAACATGCAAAATTTTCTAGTTGTTATTGTAATAGCATTTCTTTCAGAAATAGCAGAAGTTTTATTAAAGTGATAGAAACACTTGAGAAAAGGCCCTTTATTTAAAAAAGACCATTATGAACTATTATAAAAGGACCCTTTTAAATAGCTGTGATCGCAAATGAAGCAAAATATTTGTTGACACATTATGAATATATTCAAAATACCAAAAGCAATAATTTGTACAATTTTAAAAAGAGCATGTAGAGAATGCACTTATTGACACTAACCACAAAAAAAAAAAAAAAAAAAAAAAAAAAAAAAAAAAAAAAAAGAGGTTATGATAATAGCTAAGTAAAAGTTTTTCAAGAAACTGTAAATTTCTATGTTAGGCTGCTGCTTGAAAATTCATTCAACTGTTAATCAAATTAAATAAGATCTGGACTTAAGATTTTGTATAAGAAAAGTAGCTTGTACAAATAAAGTTTAAAACAAATTGAGCCCCCCAAAAAATGTCTCAAAATTGATTTTGTCTACAAGTGGACAGAAACTAATCTTAGACAGCGATTCATACTTTACATTTGATCCTAATCGCAATGCTCACAATAAGTATTATCATTCAGTACTCTCTAACTCTGTCCTTGAGCATTTGGATGATGCCTAAAAAAATCACAAGAAAAATAATGGTATGGAACAGCATAGATGAAGAGAACAATGTTTCTAACTCATTCTTTTTTTTTTTTTTTCCCAAGAAAATGTAAGTTCATTTTGTCAACAAGTGGACAGAAACTAATCTCAGACAGTGATTCATACTTTATATTTGATCCTAATCACAATGCTGATAATAAGTATTATCATTCAGTACTCTCTAACTCTGTCCTTGAACACTTGGATAATGCCTAAAAAAAGCACAAGAAAAATAATGGTATGGAAGACCACAGATGCAGTGCAGGATTTACATATAATCTACACAAGCTATAGCTTAGGGCCCACAACTTTCTTGGGGCCCCAAAAAGATTAAAATAATGTATAAATGTAATATTAAAATATACTATAACAGACTTATAAAGGGCCCCATATCTCAAATATTGGGTCATATAAAAAGTCTTTGTGCTTTTTTGCCACTAGATGGTGTTGATGCCTATATATCAAGCAACACTCACTCCACTGTCTCAAACGAACCTGTGCTCAAAAGGTGATATTCAGCTTCCATTGTCTGTGAAGATAGTTTTGTAATTCGTTGCTCATGTAAAAAGTTATATGAATTTGAAACTGAGTGAAATATCTGAAGAAATATGCTATGTGATGTTTTTTTACTATATACGAGGGCTATCCAGAAAGTAGATTACATTTTGGAATAAAAAAATAAACAAAGTATAGGAAACAAATTTTATTATATACAGATGAAAGCCACACTCAAATACTACTTTTTCTACATAGTCACCATACAATTAAGGCATTTATCGTAGCGATGTACGAGCTTGGAAATTCCTTTCGTCGAAAAATTCGGCCGCCTGCGCCTTCAACCACTTTTCGTTACCTCTTCTTGCAGCTGTGCATCGTCATCAAAAAAACGCTGCATAGCCAGCCACTTCTTCATTGCTGAGAATAGGTGGAAGTCGCTCGGTGCCAGGTCGGGACTGTACGGCGGATGAGGAAACAACTCCCACTTAAAAGATTCAAGAACTTTACGAGTGACATTTGCCGTGTGGGGCCGGGCGTTGTCGTGAATCAACAAGATCTTAGAGCTCAACATTCCTCTGCGCTTGTTTTGAATTGCTCTTCTGATTTTTTTGGAGAGTTTGGCAATACCTTTGAGAGTTTATTGTAGTGCCCTCTTTCCAGGAAGTCCACCAAAATTACAACCTTTTCTGTCCCAAAAAACAGTCGCCATCATCTTCCTTGCCGACATTGTTTTGCATGCATTTCTTGGGTTTTTGGGGAGAACTTGTGTGCCCCCACTGATTGATTGCAATTTCGTTTCACAGTAAGTTCACATGTTTCATCACCCATGTTTCGTCACCAGTAACGATGCGATCGAGTAAAGAGTCACCATCCTTATGGTAAGCGTCCAAAAAGTTCAACGCTGCAGCCATTCGCTGATTTTTGTGGTCCTCTGTCAAGATTTTTGGAATCCATCTTGCACAAAACTTGTGGTAACCAAGCTTTTCGCTGATGATTTCGTGCAACAAACTTCGCGAAATTTGTGGAAAACTCAAAGAAAGTTCCGTTATTGTGAAATTTCGATTTTCATCACAGGACTTTAGCATCGACTTTTTCGAGAAGTTCGGCGGTCACTGTGCTGGGTCTCCCACTTCAATCTTCGTCGTGAACATTGGTTCGGCCATTTTGAAATCTTATGACCCACTGACGCACTCCACCTTCAGTGATAATGTTGTCCCCATACACTTCACGAAGCTGCCGATAGATTTCTATCGGTTTACAGTTTTTTGCAGTCAGAAACCTTATTACTGAGCGCACCTCGCAGCTCGCGGGATTTTCAATTAACGCAGACATTTTTCAAAACCGTCACAGTATCTGAACGGAGAGCACAGCACGAACCTCTCACTAGCACGGCTAGATGCAGACTGAGCTGCGCAACGTTCTGACCCCAAGATGGCCGCGCTAGCCCCGCCCCTAGCGGACACAGACGGAAACGTAATCTACTTCCTGGATGGCCCTCGTAAAAGTTAAAAATGCTGCAAAAACTTGCTGAAAAATTTGTGAAGTGTACGGTGAGAATGCTGTGGGTAAACAAAAGACCCAGGCGAGGTTTGCTTGATTCTGTTCTGGAAATTTCGATGTTTAAGATGCACCTCACTCTGGTTGGTCAGTCACCGAAAAAGTCAATAAAATTTTGCAACTAGTGGTGCAAGACTAGCACACAAGCTGTCACGAAATAGCGGAGGTACTAAACATCAACAACATGACAATTTGGAATCATTTGAAAAGAGCAGGCTACAAAAAAGAAGCTCGATGTTAGGGTGCCACATGAATTAACACACAGAAATTTGATTGACGGAATTACCATCAGTGAAATGCTGCTGAAACACAATGAAATCGAACCATTTTTAAACAGAATTATTACAGGTGATGAAAAATGGGCGAAATACGAGAATATCAAATGCAAGCGATCACGGTCAAAGGCCAGTGACCCTACATAAACGACTTCAAAGCCTGGATTGTCACCAAATGAGGTTATGTTGAGTGTTTGGTGGGATTGTAAAGGAATTGTTCATTATGAGCTACTGCAACCTGGCAAAACCATCAATTCAGCTCTGTACTGTGCACAATTCGACCGTCTGAATGAAGTAATCCAGAAAGAGTCACCAGAATTGGCCAACATAAAGGCAGTTGTGTTCCATCACAACAATCCACAGCAACAAACATCTTTGATGACTTGGAACAAATTAAAGGAGCTTGGTTAGGAAGTTTTGATGCATCCACTGTACAGCCTGGATCTTGCTCTGTTTGACTACCATTTGTTTCGGTCTCTACAAAGCTCTCTTGATGGTAAAAAATTGGCCGTCCGAAGCACTCCTGAAAATAACTTGACCAAGTTTTTTGACGATAAATCACAGAAGTCCTACACCAATGGAATCATGAACCTACCTGAAAAATGGCAAAAGGTCATAGATAATAATGATAAATATGTACTTGATTAAAATTGATTTTCAATAACGAAAAAATTTGTTCAAAAATGAAACAAAAAGGCACAGAGACCTTTTATATAACCCAATAGCTTAGGACATTATCAAGTCTAAATCTGGCTCTACACAGAATGAAGACAGCATGTTTCTAACCCATTCTTTTTCTTTCAAGAAAATATAAATTTATTGCCACTTATTTAAAGCATTAAAAAGGTTTAATTCCTTTAATTAAATAATGTGATCAAAATAAAGATATTTTCTTTTTGCTATTATGCAAAAGATATCATATATTTTAACAACCAGAAATTGATTTTGTACCTAAGTGTAATGTCCCAAACATAGCTTATGACAAAAGCAATGGAATATTTTGAAGCATTACTAAATGCAACCACTCTAATAGAAGCACAGCCTAAAAGCATGGCTCAGTATAAGAAAAATAACCTTTGGAGTGAATGTCTTTAAAAAAAAGAAGGTAAAAGCATGCATGAGCAGAAATCAGAGTATATATAGGTGGTTAGGTTTATTTTATTTGATTATGGCAAAGCACTTAAAGGCTTTCTGCAAGAGAGATGCCTTTATGGAGGACTTTCTAACAGAACTAGCTCATATTCATATTGCACATGGGGAAAACCATGAAAACGTTCATGAAACCAGCTGTTTGCCAGAACTCAAGCCCTGGAGTGAACTACCAGTGTTCAGTGATTTTATCATTCAGACACTGGTGGGCTAAAATTTTTGTGAAATGAACCAAAAAGAAAACTATGCAGCAGTTTTAATATGGCATTTGCTGCACACTGTTCTGATATATGTTTCAATTTCATATAAAGAATAGAATGAAATTTAAACAAAAACCTCAAATTTTTCTCATTCGTAGCCAGGATATTGTTTATTATGGTGTAGTGTCATTAAACATATAATCATGCTGGCATTGTTTATAATGTGAAGAATCCTCATGCTCTCAAACCCTAAAATAAAAATTTCTGCTAATTTTTTGGCTACATAATAGAAAAGTACAGGACACAGTGTTGTTCACTGAGCAGTTTCATCTTTGAAGTAAAGTATATTTGGAAAAGGAAGAGTTGGCATTAAACATTTTATGAACAATAAACAACGTGTCTGGCCATTCTCAGGCCATCAGCATGGAAGATAAGAATATTTATATATTTACCTTCAGATATGTCTTTAATGATTCAACTATTTGATTAGAAAATCATTGGGTGTTTCGTATTTGTGTGTATATGTGCAAGATAAAAAATAATGTAAATCAAAATTATAATTTAAACTAGCAGTAACCCCTTAATTCCCCCTCTCTATTCTAAAAATCATAATAATAACCTTTCTGGACTGCCATTTCTAAATCAATTCCTTCTTTCACGGCTTGCGTAACACTGATGATGTAGCTAACTCGGAAACTAATTAATTTCAAGAACCAAAACCTTTCTAATCTAAACCAAAACCTCCTCTTGGCGAGTCTCCATACTGGATAATTGCACACTTTTAGCTTCAGCTCCGCTGCAGTCAAGATGTTACTTCACTCCATTTGCTGTGTCATACTGCTAATTATGCCATTATCTAAAATCTGATACTCTGTATAAAACTGTGGGGGGCGTATTGTGCCCATGACCATGTGCGATGAAAAAATATTTTTGATAAATAGTTCTTATCACCAATAAAAGTTATATTCAATTTGGCCACATATGTCTATAAGTCTTTCTTTTGACTGTCATCTTTCACACTATTAAGTAATGTCTCTCCAGGATATAATGCAGAGAATTATCGTCAGTCTGTTGCAGCTTCTCCAAGTCAGATTATTACATATATCCATACACATATACAGACCTTCAAGATGATTTAAGCTGCTATTGATACTGATCCCAACCATCATATAGTAGAATGTTCATCACTTCTGATATAATAACTTTTTGAAATGGAATAATTAAAGCTAGAAAACAGCCTATTAATGTTGAAAGAATTTATGGAATGAATGACTAATTTCAAAGGCTTCCCAGGCATCAACATAGTAGCAAAAATGATACAAATAGAAACAAAACTTGCTAGTAAGAGGGATTTGTTGATATGAATGAAGAATATGTTACTGAGGAACGAGCATTTGGAAAAACTAGTCTATTCATTTACTATAATAAATAATAAAGAAGTAAACAATATAAGTATTGAAAAAATTTGAAGAAATATTTTAGATGATGCTTATCTTATAGAGAACACAAAAAGTAGCATATATAATAAAAGAAAAAGTTTTTCTAATATATATGTACAGAATTGAAAAGACAAAAGAGACAACCTCCAATAGGATTTCTTCCACATAACTGACAACAGCAAAAGTGTTCACCTTCAAAGATACTCAGCCATCAATCTAATGTCACTATCATTTTTAACTCTTCAATCTCTTTTACCTTCTGAAAATAATATTCCTAACAACCTTGCTTTTTTCCTTAGATGAACAACGAAACACAGCATCACAATCCCTACATTCTGCTTTGCCTTCTTACTACAGATATATAATGCTATCATATAACAGCTGTCATCATCAGCAATATCAGTGACCATCACAACAATAAGAATGTAGAAGTTGATAATGTACTCACAATAAACTAACACAATTGTTTAAAAGTAAGATTTTGTCATAAGTTGTGAAAATTATGTGTATATGATTTTCACACTAAAATTTTAGCCTGGAAATAGAACAATTTTTATTTCTTTCATGCCTTGATACAATGCATCCTATTGTAGATTACAAGTGTAAAGAATTTTAAATGCTTCTTCCATCTGTTTTTGTAGTGATCAGCACATTCCAGTATCAAACTGAAAGATCTTATGTTTGATATCTAGTATAGGGACAGTTGATTTTTCAAGATGCTTGCCTCTAAAATATCAAGTGACTTTGCAATGTGCACAAATAAAAATACTGTACCATGCCAACCCATCTCAGTTTGATATAGCCAAGTGGGTTTCACCTCCTTTTCCCAGCTATTCTTCGGTAGGGCACAGCATAAGGAATTAAAGGCATCCTCTTCATTATTCCTTATCATCACATTTCCCTAGCAAGCTAGAAGTCTTTCATCTGATTTCTGAAAAGACTAATTTTTCAAAATTCCTGCCTACAAAAAAAAAATCTACCAACCCTATGCAAAAATTAAATTTCTTAATTTTTCACACTTTTTTGAAAATTTTGCTAAAATATTAGAATGTTTAATTTTCATACCTATGAGAAAGAGTTACATTTCACATTACTTTATTTAGCAATGTAGAATGTAATACAATGAAAGTGACAATCCTATTATGTATAATGCTCATTATTATACTTAGCAAGTCCTAGAATGAGATATAGCTGTGGGTATAAAATCTACCAACCCTAAGCAAAAATTAAATTTCTTAATTTTTCATACTTTTTTGAAAATTTTGCTAAAATATTAGAATGTTTAATTTTCATGCCTATGAGAAAAAGTTACATTACAAAGTTACTTTATTTAGCAATGTAGAATGTAATACAATGAAAGTGACAATCCTATTATGTATAATGCTCATTATTATACTTAGCAAGTCCTAGAATGGGATATAGCTGTGGATATAGGGCATAAGAGTGTACTGCACCCTCTTATTACACCAAATATAATTAATAACTGTATTTTGCTATTTCACATTTACAAAGATAACTTACTCTTCCCAACTAGAGTTTAAAAAAATGAGGAAGAAAAACTTCACAATGATTTTTAAAATTGCAGAGTAATAGCAAAAAGGAATCCTAATTTACTACAATTTCAATAGAAAATAATAAAACATGCCAATGCAGCAAAATATTTAAATTTCTTTAATAATAAACAAAATATTTAAATTTCTTTATGCATAATATTTAAAAAAATTCTATAAACTGAACTTTGTTGATTAATAAATCAAAGAAATGGGATAGGAGCTTCCCTCTTTAACTAAAAAAAACACTTAATGTTGCCATCTAATGTTTAAATGAAAACTGTTGCCAACTGCTTGAACAACTATGATTAAATGAAATTAAAAGAAGGGGGAAATGGGTATCTCTTCACAGGACTTCACTCTCTTCAATGCTAGAATTTTATAATTATGATTAAATTATATTTTGGATGCATAAAATTAAGTATATTTTGAAAAGTAAAAATCATGTGACAGAAGTACGTATTATATGCATCACTATAAACAATGTACACACCAGTAAAAACAAACTGCAAAATATCAAATAGCTCATTTTGTCCTCTGTGCGGACAGAGTCAAATTTTTTACGCTACTCATCTTGACTCGTGCTTCTGCACTTGTGTTTTTAAACTGTAAAGTTCATAAATATTGGAAGGCTAGAGATCTAATGGCGTCATATTAAGTGACTATTAAGTTTTATTGCTTATTATATTACTATTGTTATATTTACTATTTAGTTTATTATTATATTTACTATTAAGTTATATTTACTATTAAGTTTTAGTTTATTATTATATTTACTATTAAGTTTTAGTGCTCGAAATAACTGATTTCATCTTCTGGGTATTTCTAATAAATAAATAAATAGCTCATTTTATTTCATGCCAGTCAGTGTATTATAGCTTGAAAGATGATTTAAAAATACTTATGCTACGGGAACTGCTAATAGTTTTGCTCTCTGTTTTTTCTTTCTAAGTTACATACAATTTGAATGAAATTATAACAGGCGAAAGGATATCAATTAAAAAAAAAAAAAAATTTAAAAGACTAGAAAATTCTGAAACATTTAATGGTATTTAATAAATCTATTCTACTTAATACAAACCTGCACAGGAGTGGCCAATAAAAAGAGGAACAAATTCTCTGATGAAAGGCCAGGAATTACACAACAAAGATTTTCTCTTCCTGTTGACATCTTCACAAACATAAAGTACATCATTACGACCATAGATGGCAAGCCAAATACCAGTAAAAGATAGAAAGAATTACGCCACCTACAAATACAGTTTTTAAATACTTCATAAACAGAACTGAATCAAAAATTAAAAGCTATTTAATACATTTATTACAAATATAAATCACAGTCATTGACACTGAAATAGGAACCTGAAAACTGGAACAATGAGTTCCGAAATAATAAATAAAATAAACAAGAACATTGAAAAGATGAACTTTTAATATTTATTATCTACAATACATATAATTTCATGAATGGAAAAAATAATATGCCCAAATTGAGGAAGAGACACATATAACACATGAAATATATATAAATAGCAATACAGTTATACTTATTAAATGTCTTTATTTTTTAACTTTACATACTTGCGAACTTCCTCTTTCTGAAGCAGATAGCTGGCATCACGAGTATGATCTGAGAGAGGATATGCATCAAAACCCATACTCTGTAAAAAAATTAACTAATAAAATATGCAAAATAAAAGTTATATAAACGAAATACATATTTTTTATCTTTTAATTTTTAAGTACATCAAGCACATTTTTTTGTGCAATGAGAGCTATAGTCAACATAAAATAACATTTGTGTAACTGTTAATTTTTTAGCCTATCTATTTACAATGCAAGACGAATTCTCCCTCGGATGATAAAATCTAATCTCTTTTTTCATCAACTTTATTTTTAGATTTTTGAAATAATATCTCATTTAGAAGAATGTTTTTAGTCTTTAAAAATCTACTGCAATAATCAATTTATTTAAAACAGAAGGGTCTTTTAACACTTTTCAGGTTCACTTAAAAAAAAAATCTGAAAACACTGCAACTTAATTTCATTATGCAAAATAAATTCAACAGAAAATAAAAACCAAACTTTCACTTAACACATGTTTTGACATTAAACTTTCTTCTGCTTCTACATAGACAGATATGATAATGAAGTTGCTTTATCGGACTAACAGCACTTGCTCTTCCTCTTAAAGATAAACTGCTAATTATAAAATTAATGCATAACAGAAAGCTAAGTTTTTTATAAAAAAAAAAAAAAACCTCTCCTTTCTACAAAAAAAAAGGGGGGAATATAACGTAAACACCTAAGTAATGCTTGTGCAATACAATGGCAAGAAAGATGCCTAAAAATAACTGTTAATCATTTATTTTTTAAATTTCTTTCCTAATTATTTTTGCTCTAAATGTACTAGCCTGAATCTGGTAAATAATAATACTGATTTAAATTTCCCTTTCTGAATCTGATATAACAATAACATAGTTGCCTTTCATAAAACGTTTCAACTAAATGATAAATAAAATGTACTATGGTGAAAATGAATGCCACTTATCTTTTACGAAGAAAGGATTAAGATTACTAATAAATGCACACAGATGATCATTGTGTTCATGTTCTGTGAAATTCCCACAACAAAAGTGAATATGGAGGTAATTTGCCAAGTACACATCTTTATACCCTTTCTTACCCATTATAAATTTGTACCCAGTACAGAAATTTTTGCTTATGGTGGAATAAAAGCTTCCACTCCAATCAATCTTATTACTTAACCAAAATATTATTTCTACAGATACCACAAACAGGCATAAAATTAATAAAATTTTAGATTCTTTAATTCCATTCTTAATTCAAAAATCTGATTTTATCAGCTCGAATTTAGAATGCATTTACTGTAATAGCTTCTACCATAAAGGTAAATTATCCTTCACACAATTCTATGTTCAAAAATTTATTAACAAATGTAATGCTATTAATATACAAGGAAATATTATTGCACAATATTGAAAGAATTAATACTGACTATTATTGCAAGAATTAATTAGTAAAGGAACATCCAAAAATATTTTGTAAAAGATCTTTCCCATTTCTTTACCAATTTTTGAATAATATGCTCTAAGTACTTTGAATGACTAGGAAACTTTGAAATTTTATGAGGCAGCAGCATAAAGCATCTGAAGATCAATGAGAAGGCTGGGATTACATACTGAAAATTCTAACTATCTTCCCCTCCCTCACACCAAAAAAGAGTGAACAAATTTATTAAACTAATTTTTGAAGGAAGGGAAATAATTTTGAATTTTTTTTAATGAAGTAACAATTTTGGTTACACTTTACACACAATTTCTTTATTTAGAGGATAATGTAAAGCTTAACACTAGCTAATCTTTTAAAGACTCATCACTAACAACATTAAGGGAAAATAAAAACTCCCTTTTTAACACTCATCAGTTAACAACATTAAGGAGAAATAAAAACTTCCTTCTTAATGAATAACTGCAAAACTTAAAGGGCTTTTGCCAATAAAAATGTAACAAAACTAGAAGCTATTCGTTTTTAGAATACATGAAAAGAAAACAAGCACAATGCTTGATTATAAGACACAGATTAAAGGATAAAATAAAGGTAACCAAAGTATTTTATCAGACACAATATTCTGGATGCAGTAACTGATGAGTAATCAATAAAAAACTAGCAATTAAAAAGAGAAAAATAAGGCAAAAAAATTACAGTTAGCTAAAGCAGTGCAATTAAATGTTAAACTACATATTACAAGCTGTTAAATTAATTAGGTCAACAAACAAAGTTTGAATTTAATAATGCTATGGTTTTAGATAGTATTTGCCATGCTGTCTGAAATATGTCAGCATACAATAAAGATGACAGATGGATAATTAATCTCTGGTGAATAACCTTAAAAGTTAGATGTGCTAACATACAGTGAATTGTATTTTTACATACATTAAAAAATCACAAAATTATAAAGTTAAATAAACATTCCTTATAATTTTATTATTTTTGTGTATGGAAAACAATATTCACCTGTATTTAGCACATCATAAATTTTAAGATTATGCACCAAAAAAAAGTTATACTTAGATTACAGATTAGTGATAAATGAATCAAACATGAAAAACGAGTAAAAGTACAAACCAAGTAAAATATCAGTGCTTAAATTACAATAAAATACTTAGCATATTTAAAAAACTACCTTAAAATCAATTTTAAATAACAAAAACTAGTCTCTTTTAAGTACTAAAATAAAATAATATGAATGTCTTTTCCAAACAAATGGTCAAGATCTACATAGGAGTTATTAAAATATGTCTGGCAAAGTCTGTTAAAATATAGGCAATCTTTTAAAATGTGATGAGTCGTAAAAAACATTACAATTTGAGCATATGGGTTCATGGCTCCACTTTTTAACCATTTGAGGGGCGGTATATAAAATAATTTAAACCGTGGTAAAATTTTGAATGAATTGCAACTTATAGACCCTTAGGACACAAAATTGAGACTTTAAAAAAATCTAGCGTGAAATCCTGAATTTTGAGGGCCAGTATATATTTTATACTGGTGCCTCTCTATGACATTTTCACAGGTAGCTGACAATTGTTAATTTTTGTTTTTTCATCAATTTTTGCAAACTTTTGAAGTGCACCTATAGAGATGGGTGCTTGAGTACAGTTATGCAAGTCTGAAGGCAAAAAACTTTTAAAATTTCACTACAAATTTAAAATTAGAATGCCATGCTGCCTGAAATATGTCACACTTTGATGATGCCAGCCAGCTGAATATACTTATGTAAAATATGGGTAAAAAGATTTTAAAAGGGATTTAAATTCAATATTATTTTAGAAAAATTTTAGCAAATAATATGTATGCATTGATGCATGCCGTATCATGCTATAATTCAGCTAGTATAATGTTACAAGGAGATGTTACTCAAGCCAAAAATTTACAAAAAAAATTTAAATGAAACACTACGACTCAGCTGAAAAAGCTTTTTGAAGTTATTATATTTTATGCTTTAGATACTATATAAAAAGAAATTCTATGATAGCAAAAATCCCCCTACGCACACTTTCGATTATCAGGACTGGTTAGGGGCCCTTTTTAATTTTTTGTAAATATAGGTTGTAATATATCATTTTGTTCAAAAAGAAAAGCTGTTAAATGATTTTATTGTTTGATACACCTCAAAGCTCTTATTTCTATCAAAACTTTAAAAATATCCCCCCCCCCTTTCTTTTCGTTCCAAAGATAAATGCTTTGCATCTAAAACTGGCCTTAGAAATATTTCCCTCCTTTCACTAGCTGTGAAGACTAAACCACGTATTTGTATCCTAACCCAGGGAGAAAATATTTTTATACAATTTGAGCATATGGAGCCATGAACCCATATGCTCAAATTGTAATGTTTTTTACGACTCATCACATTTTAAAAGATTGCCTATATTTTAACAGACTTTGCCAGACATATTTTAATAACTCCTATGTAGATCTTGTATTCCTTAGTCTCTCATCTGAAATTAACAAAGACCTAAAGAAAAAAATCTGCAGTGTACACCACATGACTTCCTTGTACAGAATATTAAATTATACGCATTTGTTTCTTGCATTTCTTTTAAACTTATAGGATTTAATTAAATCTACTTTGCCGACAGCGCATAAACCACAATAAAATAAAGGCATTCTTTAAAATTCACTCTATTTGTTTAACATAGCGACACTCTGGCACTAGGTTCACTTAACAGTATTATATTTCGTTCATATTATAACTCAGAATGCACAAAATGTATATCATTTAAAGAATAATCTTATCGTTGCCACATGTTCTTTTCAAATACTATAATAAAGCTAGAATGATGTAAAAAAGAAATTAAGCAAACAAAACAAAAAAGAAACAGTTTTTCACAGACGATTCAGTATTTCTCATTTAATTAATTCAGTTTCAGTTTCTCATTTCGCGAGAAGGCAAAAAATACATAAAAACTCAAATATCTATATTAAAAATTACGAAGTAAATCTCAAACACTTATTTCCTCAAAAAAATTCCAGAAAGAATTAAGCATGATTTAATTGGCAATAATAAATGAATGCGTTATCTTTGTTGCTGCGAAGCTAAGTTTCTCTAGATTGGCAACAAATCCACTAGTCTCATGATTCAAATGTAAACAGCAATGGCCGTCATTAAAAAAAGACTTAGCGGCAATTAAACAACTTTAAAATTGCTGATAATTCTAAAAATATTGCACACATATTTACTAAAGGCATAAAATCCTTAACCGGAAGATAAAAACAACACAATTCAATCATTTTTAAAGCACAAAATGTACAATTTACAAACATATAAGAGTAAAGAAACAGATCACTGAGCCGGGTAACAGAGTGGATATATATATAAATATATTTATATAGGTTTGGTGCTGTCAATTGCAACCAAAATACGAGGTGCACATCTACATGTTATAGCAGTCCTATATACAAAATTTCAACGTTCTGAGGCTACTCGTTTTTGAGTTATGCGAGATACGTACGTACGCACGTACATACATACGTTCGTAGAGACTCCACAAAAAATTCTCTTCAGAATTAATTTTAAAGCAGTTTTATAATATTTTGAAGGAAAAGAGCATTTTATTCTGTCCTTACGTACAGATATCACGCAAAAACATCGTTAAATTGAATTCGATAGCGGTCAAAATGGATATTTTCGTTGAAACATGCTGCCTGAAACTTTTCGCGATTACAATACTTCCTTTTTACTTCGTACGAGGAAGTAAAAAGCATGCTTTCAAATCAGCAGTTTTCCCACTGCACTAAGAAATGGACCTAGAGTGCATTTCAATTTCCCGCACTTTTAGAGTTTTCCCTTTGTATGATGTTATCACAGTCCTTTTGTGAAGATGGCATGAACCTTGTGTGACAAATTAGTTGTCCGTCACCTCTTTTCATTTCCACTGAATTCTAGAATTTTGGAAAACACGAAACAACAGGTCTGTTTGGGGGCTAACAATGCCACATTTAACCCCTACAGTTGTGTAAAGTTTTTTGACGCCAGATGAGTATTTCTTGTGGATAATAGTATGGAAAAATTAATTAGTATGGAAAGAGTGGAGTGCTGAAATTAAAATTTTAGCTAAACAGAGACGAATGAGAAACTTAAGTGGTGTAAACAAGGAATAAACAGAAACTAATATACTTGTATACAGTCCTAGGACAGGGTCAGTAAACTTCCCATATCCCCATGAAAATAATATTGAATCCTAAACAACTTGCAAATTAATCATAAATAAAGTATTACATCATAAACTATTATAATACAAAGAAATTCTGCCATCTTACAGAGTAGAGAAGGAGAAGCCTGGTGCTGTCATCTATTAGGGAGATACCCTAAGTAGGGGTGCCGGTTGTATACCGGTATTAAAAATGTATACATAATCTTCTTTTGATTATCAGTTTTGATTGAAATGCAGTAAATATAAAATGTTCAGAACATGTACATCCTATATTTTAAGATTGTGAATTTTTCCCTACCCTCTAATGGAATTTATGAATATTCAAACATGATACCTTTGAAAGAGGTATATTAATTTCATAACTGCAAAACATTAAGCATTCATAGGGTAGTGCTGCCATTTAGAATCAAAAGAAAAGTATAAAAACTTATGATTACAGCTTTTGGTGTAGAAAAATTAGCATTTTTTAGGAGGTTAAAAAATTGACAAACATCTGGTATATATTATATACCAGTGCCCTTCAAAGGGTTAAAAGGCAATTGTGCATGGTCTGAGAGTGAAATTTAAACGTAGTCTTAGAATTTAAACTACAATAACAGAATTCCGGCTATCATAAAAATTCTAAAATGTCTAGTGCACTAACAAAACATTATAAAAGATACACTTTTTTTTTTTTTTTTTTTTTTTGTTATAGCTTAGATATAACAGCATAAGTTAAGGCTCATTTCTGTGACAACAAACAGTTCCAGACATTCTGTCAGGAAGTGGTCTTGTGACAGAGAAGCAGTATTTGGATTATCCACTTTTCTCAGTTATCCACATGTAATGCATTAATTAGTATGGATAATTAAGAGTTAAGTGTAATTATATTTTGATTACATATAATGAGAGGTTGCTCTTTACTATATACGACCAAGATATGACTATATGTAATGAAAGTGATATACTTTATGGGAATAATAAAAATTTCTTTTATCATAAAAGATCTATGGGTATTTTTTTGTTATATAACCTGCCACTTATTTTGGCATGTGTGTACATGTGTAAACACACAATGCACATTTTTGTTATGAGTACATATACACATGATAAAATACACAGCAGGTGCATAATGGGAAAGTACCAAACTATGATGTCATAAGCCATTAGGCATTATTTTAATATAGTATAATAAATTGAGTTACATAATTTACTGCATTAATACATTTTAAAATTCCTTACCTTTATAGCATCAATAATATTTCTTGGACCAGTTACTTCGGAGTCAAACTTAAAACGCCCTTGCTGAGTAGCCAAAGCAACAGATGCAGAGATGACACCAGGCATTTTACTAATAGTAGTCTCTATTTTATGTACGCATGAGGAACATGTCATTCCACCAATCTGTAAGTGAAGAAAAAATTGTATTGATGACAAATAATTTGTTTCCCTTTTTAAATTTTATATGACTGATAAATCAATGATAAATATAATTAAATTTTTTACTAGAAGCAAAGTCAATATTATAAAACCTAAACGTCAAAATAAAGTTTTTAAAAATATTTATGGCCATGGCAACATCTATTATGACAAAAATCCTACAGGAGGCCCTTGTAATTAATAGAAAAGAAAGAAAAAAAAGGATCCCCCTCAGAGAAATGAAATTTGTCAAAGCTGAAAATAAATTTACAATCAATTTCAATCAACTACAATACATTAAGCTTTATTTGGCAATAAAAGCAAAGGGTAAGAATTTTATATCAAGTGTTATTTTATACAAAGTGTTTTTAGCTGAATGTTTTATACAAAAGAGATACAATTACAAATCTTTTACAGTGCAATATCAGTTTTTCTTTTGCATAATTACACCTGCATTATTGTAATAAATCCATATTTTAAAACTGAAAAAAGATTTCCTCTCTTAGTTGCTTTCATTGATTTTCAAGAGGGGCAGTTTCTTAAAATTTGTACAGTGAAGCTCATATGCATGTGACAACCCTGTTAACACATATTCTTAAATTTCTACTCTTATCTTTCAGCTACTTCAGTCTCCCTTGTGGCTCATTAAATAGAACAGACTTCAGTAGAAACTGCTAATATTTCATAATTTTACAGTTTACTTATTATAAACTGAACATCAGTAAATTATTTGCATGGTGTCACTTCATTCTTTCAAGTTTAGAACAGATAACTCGAAATGGTTTCACTTATCTTGAATTTTAATTTAAAATATGAAAATATATGTTAGAGTCCAGAACTCTCTTAACTGACTTATATATGTATTACAGTAGAATTCCAGAAATCTGCAAAGCTTGGGACCAAAAGTTGTGAGGATTTTAGGATTTCAGGACATAAAAGATAAATCATAATATTCAGACTAAAAAAGCAAAATAAATAAGGTGTATTAGATACATTTAATTAAATTATTATACACTATAACAATAATTTACTATGTACATTAATTATTAAATATATAAATTGATTACATTATATTAGTATTCATTTACATTAGTGCTTACAGGAATATTTAAAAGCATTAGAGATGTATTCAATAGACATAAAAATAAGGGATATTAATAAAGCATAAAATATTTCATTTTTTTCTACATGTTTCAAACATTTTTCTTATGGAGGTTTGTTTTAAAACTTTAGGGTGCTACAGAGTAAGTTTTTTTTTTTTTTTTTTTTTTTTGTAAATTATATAGAGTCATAATCTCTTGCTCTGTGACACAGCTTTGTTGTTCTAAAAATTTTAGGTATTTTTCACCAAGTTCCAGACCCTCATTAAAAGATATTTTCTCACTTCTATCAAACTCACTATCTGTGTCGCTGTCAGAATTGCCTTCTTGCTGTGACGAGTTTAAAACAGAACCCATAATTTCATCATCAGCATCTGATATGCCAGCGTTGGCTCCTCTGAACACATCATCCATTTAACAATATCTTCTTCCTGCAAAGCCTTCTCATTTATTTTTTTTTCGAAAATAAAAGCAATTCTCTTGCTTTAATCCTTGCTGCACTGACCTTAAAACCAGAAAAATTACTGTCATCACTTTCAGTTTCAATAAATGGATATGGCCATACATTATGCCAGGCATTTACTAATGTTGTTTGGGAAACAGAATTCCATGATTCAGTTAACAAATAAATGCAGTCTTTAATGATGAATTTTTTTTAATATATATATAATCACAAAGTGGAATAGAATGGTCACTTGAAAGAATGTTTTTCAGAAACTCTGATTTATAGTGGCACTTAATACTGTGTATTATGCCCTGGTCCATTGGTTGGATCAATGATGTAGTATTTGGGAGCAAAAAAAAGGGCCATGACATTATCACATGTTAAAATAGTTGCATCTGGATGTGCAGATCAATTGCTTAACAACAGTAAAATCTTGCAATTTGATGGTAACCCTACACTGTTACAATGCCTTCTAGCCTCTTTAATAAAATGTTCCATTCAGTCATAAGTTGTTTTGTGAACCAGGAATTTTTATTACTCCTGTAAATCACAGGTAAGGATTTTACTCCTTTCAGAGCTCTGGGATTGGTGCTTTTACCCACTACCACTGGTTTAAATTTGTAAGTTCCAGCTGCATTGCTGCATACTAAAATGGTAACTCTTTCTTTAGCATCTTTCACCCCTGATGGTGCACTTTCTTCACTTGTCACAAATGTCTTTCTTGGGAAACATCAACAAAAAATCCAGTCTCGTCCATATTAAAAACCTGTTCTGGGCTAAGATTTTCTTCTGCCACTAACACAGAAAATTCATCAATAAACTTCTCTGCAGCATCTTTATCCGCTGAATAAAATAAATGAGGTGTAAAATCAATGATGTATCTATGTAGAATGTTTCAGTATGCCTAGCAGATATCCATCTATGGAGCCAAATTATAGATCACAGAAATTTATGCTAAAATGATTGTTCAATAACGAGGTAGTGTCTAAGTGAAATTAAGAATTCGACTCTCCAGATATTTTATTATGCGCAGATGGAAGGGTAATTAAATGTGCACGCACAAAGCACACAAAATTTTTTTTTTTTTTTTTTAAAGTTGTTTGTGGCTTTGGAGTCTGGATTTTAGATCATTCCGGATATTGGAAGTCCGGATCTCGAACTCTGTACTGTAACAACACTTAAATTAACTTACATGTAAATTTACTTCTCCATATTCAGTTGTATCATCATCCAACACAGTACTAGGATAACCAAGTGCAGTGATAGCTGATGCTATCTGTGAGGGCAGGATGTATGCAGGATCATACTTCACCTCTGCTTTTTGTGCCATCAAAGCAACTAATACTCTGTGGATACCTATTGGGAAAAAAAAAAAAAAAAATCCATGCACATTAAATAACTTTTTCTTATTTATTAAGAGGCTATGTACCAAGGATTTTTTGGGACAAAAATGTTTACATTTTCCTTTAATACATTTAAACCATTTTACCTGTTTTCCTACATTAGTAAGTCAGCACATAACACACAATAAACTGTGTAAAATAATGCATTAATCTATTGAGATGATTTAATTATGTTTTGAAAATGAAATAGCTACATGGAAGAAAAATTTTCTTGAATGACTGTTGAATTTAAAAATTATATCACAAACATTTAAACAATGTATTAATATACAACAATATACACTAACAACACATTTGGATTTATTTTTATTTTTTAAAGCTACAGGAAGCAAAACTGTTCAGTCATGATGAAATTTAACATGATAAATACAAAAAGACATGATAAAAACTGCATAGAGTTGATCAGTTTGCCAAGTAAATATCACTCTAGAACTATTATACATTACTAATATACAGCCACCTAGGTCACAATAAATGAGAATAGTCAGTCAGGTGCTGTTTCACATAAACATCAAGTGTTACCCAGAAGCATTTGCAGTCGTACATTCTACACCTGCTCCGTAGTTCATGCGTAATGCAAGACATTCGATTAACAAAAAAGCCTAGAGATCTGACAGGTCAAGAAAACTATGTGACACTACACAAATATTTCCTTTAGATAGTCACTGCATGTGAAAATGCATTATTTTTCTGAAATATAGTTGAAACAAATTTGGCATCACTGACAATAAGAGAAATCATTGCTATATTGACTGCTTTTTTGTCCTTCATTTTTAGCATACTTTTTCATCCTTTCCCAAGTTCATTTCTTAGGTTGATTGATATAAGCATGAGGTTGTTCATAGCAACCCTTCATTCCTCATGCATGCTAACCCACAGGCGGCATCTAGAATACCCGTACAGGGGGGGGGGAAACAGAAATATTGCCACTCAACTATCAATACATAATAATTTATTCTTTTGTAAAAGAGGTCAGCCCAAACAATACATCAAATACATATATATACAAGCAGGGGGTATAGGCAACCCTACTCCATAAATTTAGACACACACACAAACAAAAAATTTCTTGATATATCTGCAGATAATTCCTAATACGATTAAATCATACATAGGGATTATGAGATCTCATTAAAGTTTTCTCGCCAGGCCAGGATTTTCTAAGTTACCAAGTCAGTACAGTCCTTGCATATTCACTGGATCCTCATATTTCATTTTATAAGCAGTTGGCAATTTTCCACTTTTTTTGCCTTCCTTAGAAAAGAAACTAATCCATCATCTCTGAGACCTCTGAGATCTTTTCCATCGTCTCTGAGACCATCATTTGCCCCCTTCCTACAACGGCTGTTGTTCATTCCCATCTTAACATCAACAAAGGAGATGACATATCACAATGATTGATGCAGAAGCTTCACCAAATAAGGCAGAAAGAAGTACAACTATGGCTGCTGCCATATACTTCTAAATATAACAAAATTTCATATGATTCATGCAAATGACATCAACTTGCATCTATTATTTGTGCATCATAACATTGCCACAGTGAGGTAAAGGATCATCATAGATGACTGGATATGATAACAATGGTTCTTTACATGATATCATCATACATGGTAGATTCTCCAACATAATGATTTGGGATAAGCAGTGTTATCACACCACTATCTGGTACTTCGAGCCAAGCAAAAATAATCATTCTGTGTTAAACACAAACTCTGGATTAATGTATTTATAGTTCCACAACTGGAACAAGAGTAAAAACTGCTGTTGTGCAGAAGAATTATGGCAAATAGAAATGTATATAGCATACAGAACCTGGGATACACACACACAAAAAAAAAAAAAAAAATTATGTATGTGTGTGTGTGTGAGCACATTTAAGACTGCTATTAAATTTAACAAAATCCTTTTCGATAGCAATATACATGTTAAAAATGAAAGCTAATTCATGAGATAGTTGCAATAATGGTTGTCTTAACACTTTGCTTTACTTTTGCTACTTTTTATTCATGATAAAATATTTCTAGAGACAGACATATACAGCAAAATTAGCGAAAGATGTGTAACCATTCTTAAATAGTTACACTAGCACGTTTTCTAATTTTGTAATATAAAGATAAAAAGAGCAGCAGTTGGAAAGCAAGTAAGCAGGACCATGAAACAAAAAGAAAATATGCAAAGTTTCTAACATGAAGATTTAGTTAAAAGTTATTCAATTATGATTTCACTTAAACCTTATTAGCTAATTTAACTTTCATTTTGCAAATGTTACTATTATTGCTGGTTGAGGAGTTTGTAAATGTCTGCACATTACCTAAGAAACATGATAATGATTAATTTTTGAAATGATGCAGTAAAAGAGACTCTTTAAGCATATCTATTTTTAAAGTAAAAGGGAAAATACCCAGATTAAAAAGGAAGACTAATAACCACACTAAAGTTAATGCTAAAAGAAAAACACTTTCCAAATTTTGGAATTTTGTGTGTTTTGTTTAAAGAGGAGGGGCTCTCTAATGAGCTAATAGTTTTCACTGAGAGCACAGAAAATAATTAAGTAATAATTTTGCATATTTTATTCCTTGCTAATATTGTAAATTGTTCATAGCAATAAAGTAATTGATTATTTATTTAACTAGTGCAGCTAAAGACATTTTGTATTACCTCTGAATTGAAAAACTACTTTTCTTGTGATATTATTTTCATGAATTCTATACAAAACTAATTCATGCTGAATAAATTCAATTACAAATTTTTAATTTTTCAAGCATCTCAAAACAAAATTACCACAAGTAATCTATTATCACTAATCTATATTATTACAATATAAAATAAATACTACTCAAAATTATATTTTAAACTACATAAAATTACAATATTGAAAAGATTTAAAATATATTTGATTTAAACTTGATTATCTAAATATACTTAATTTTAAACTATTTAAATTTATAATGTTGAAAAGCATATTTAAATTATACCTGACACTAGAATTTTTATATTCAGATTTTAACAAAAAAATTACATTGTTTAAATAAAATTTAATTAGTTTAAAATTCATATTTTTCCTTGGTCAAGGAGAAAAAGTGATAAATTGATTTTAACCTTCTATTTTCATAATATTTCGTTCAATAGCAGCTACACATGATGCACAAGTCATCCCAGTTACCCGTATGAAACACTTTTCTAAATCTTCCTCAATATCCAGGTAAACATCAGCTTTTTTTTTCAGTGGTTTCCCATCTGTGAAAATAAAAAACCAAAACAAATTCAGTCTATATATCCTGAACGTCTAAAATTAAATTAAACTTTTAAATGCACTAACAAAAGCACATTTAACGTTATATATCAATAATGTATTTCTATCATGTCAAATCAATTTAAATGCAAAAACATCTTTTAAATGCTAAATGAAATAAGTTTTCTATTACTATTAACCACAATATGTCAGTATTCCATGTTAGACTCTATATTTTACAACACACAAAACTGATCCCCTTTTCACATTACACATAGATTTTTAAAAAAGTAGCCTTTTATTAAAAATGAAAAACAAAAATTTCTCTATAAACCTAATTTACATAAAATCAATAGCAAATTAATAAAATATCTGCAAGAAATATGTAACAGATAAATTTAATTAGCATTTTTTTTTAATTACTCAGCTTAAAAAATATACTTATTCGTATGCCTACATTATAGGGGAACTTTAAATGAACTAAGATTTATAGATTTGAAATACAAATAATAAATATTGCAATTACTAAAAAAATACCTATGAACTGACATGCAAATATAATTTTACTTAACAAAAATGTCAAATGGGAATTTCCTTAATGTCTTAATTTCAATACATACATTAAGGAAATTCTAACATAATAATTTATAATTAATCCACAAGTTTAAAAAAAATGAACTAATAATATAGGAAGTTATGAAGATTTCTTTTATTGTAAGAAGTGACCTAAAAGAAAAACTTATTTTGTAGCAGCTTTAATGGGAAACAATATCTTCAAACAAGAACAATGTAATAATTACTGCATATCAGAACAATGTGCAGCAATTACTATAAATGAGTCATTCTTTTCTCTCAGAAGTAACAAAAAAGAAATAATGCAATTTAAGTAAAAAGTAAAGCAAAGCAAAAAAATATTATTATACACCCCCCTTCCAAAAAAAGAGAATGAGAGAAAGATCTACGTTTCATATAAAAGTTCTAAGATTTCTTTCTTAATGATGGACTGTTAACAATTCCTTTATTAGAAATAACATTCATTTCTCATTTAAGTTCTAAAAATCTTAATATTATTTACGAAAGGTCAATTGATCCATATGGCTGGCTATCCATGTACTTTTTTAGAAATGAAAAAGCAGAAAAATATTTATCTGCTCTGTGATATCAGATTTGATTTCAAAATATATATGTAAACTAGCACCCAGATTTATTGGCCACAAATCTCAAAAACATGCAATGACCGTACTCCAGTGCTTCTCCACAAGCTTCTACTACCTTCCCTAAAATCAAAAAGTAGTAGACGGTTTGATTTCAGAAATCATCAGAACTTCAGCAATTCTGGATATTTCCAGATTTCTAGATTATTTTAAATCTAGTAAAATGCCATGTACACATGGCAACACTGGCGGCTTTACTCATTATTTAGGCCAGACTGAAAAATGCTATTCCCTCCCCCCACACATAAAACCTCTCAAGGGCCAAAAGTATGATCTTGCCCAACATTAATACATCAGTATATTATCATTGGTCACCATGTCCCTCCTTAGCAAGCAGGTGTTTGAAAATGACATACAAGAATCTCAGTTAAAAAGTTGTACATTGGAATGCAATAGGGAAAAAAAGGAAGATATAATATCTCAGACTGAACAGAATTTCAAATCTAGCATTTTATAGAGAAGAGATTGCTTGGAGAGATAGAATAGACAATACAATCTGATAAGAAAAGAGAACATTTCATGAATTGCTGAATGAGAATAGTTGGTAGCATAACTAAGAGGGAAGCACTTTTTACACGAGATGATTTTATTTTTGGAAGTCTTTTATTTATGCTGATTAAATAGTTTTTATTCTTTAAATAATATTTAATTTTAAGAAGTAATTTACAACAGTAATAAAAATATAAATTGAAAAATATCACTTTTTTTAATACGAAATAATATTTCTATTGGAAATGTGGTCCAATAGATTGAATCCTTCCTGTGTTCTTCCCTAGACATACTATGGTCCTTTGTTACATGATCAGCCTATGTGGCAACTGAGTATCATACAGCCGGTGCAATATTCATGGTGATATTGCTACTGGTCAGTTGTTAAGATAATGAATTGTTCATTATTATAGCAGAACACACTAGGCCTATCTGCTTAATAAGACAAATCACTTTACAGAGAACGTTTCAGTGAAACCAACTTGTATTCACAGTACAAGTGATAAAAACCATAAACATGGTCAGGTAGCCAGCATGTTTATAGGGATACGAACCCAGAAATTGAACTACTGGTATTCCGTAACTATGAGTACAAAATAATTTTATACACTTAGCTGTTGGTAGCCATGCTAGCCAGCAGAAATATAGCAATAATCACTGACTATCATTACAACAGTATCATTGCCTATTATTACAAACTCTGTCAGTGAGTGATATTACTGTAATTAAGATTATTTTAAATTTAGCTCTGAAACTAAAAGAAAACATAAAAAAAATTTTTATTAAAATAAAATATAATTCTCTTTTGTCTGATAAACATACTATGGTCTGATACCTCTTTCATCTGATGAAAATATTAATCAAAGGCATCAATTTAAACCAACGTAAAATTTCAGTTTGTTCCTTTCATTCACAGAAAATACAAGTTCCAGTTTACATTGTGGGCACTTTTATCCAGGGCACCCTTATGAAAGTTACTACTTTGGCAAAGAGTGGACAACCATTATAAAGACGACACTATCTGAGAAAAGGTAACATCTCACTGTACCCCTTGACAGTAAGGGGTACAGTGAGATGCTAGTCCATGTTGATGCTATCAAGGAAAAATGTTGAACTGAGTTCCGGCACATAAAAAGTAATGTTCCATCAAGATAATGCAGGACAACATGTGTCTGCATTCACCTGCTGGACTATACAGACTTGAATGGGATCTTTTGCCACACCCACCACATAGTCCAGACATCCTGTGGACTTCTACCTTTTCTCACACCCTGCAGCTATATCTTGCTGGTGCTATCTTCCGATTTTGGAAGGTCGTCTGAAACAAGGTTGATCTGTTTTTGGACTCTTGGCCATGAAGTTTCAGGGTCAAAAGCTTTGAAAAACTACCAAAACGCTGGCAGAAAATCAGAGATTTGGGTGGTGATTACTAACTGCACTTGAGGTACTGCTTTCATGTTTTTTTTTTTCTAACTCTATTAAGAACTTTTGGCATTGTTCTGTTATCGGACCGGATTAAAATATATATGAATGTAGGTACATGAAATATTAATTGCACAAGGAAAAGCCGGAGCAGTGTCAATGCATGCTTAGATCCATATTGAAGAAGAATTTTGATTGCATAGCATCTAAAGTACTTGGCAGTCGAGGCAGGTTTAATTCCATTTTTATTTCCAATTGATATTTGTGGCCACAATCACTTGACACACTCCAGTTGTGCCTTTCCACAGAAGATTTACATCTTTGATATTGTTGAGATAGAAAGCAAGCCAGTGAAATTACATCTTAGCAGAGTAGAGAGCAAAGCTGAAGTGCGTCATTATGCAAGATGGAAGCACGCAAAAAGAAAAGTTTCGTTTCGCAATTTGGTGATTGGTCATGAGGCATCTGCATTAAGAATTATGTAAGATCACATGATTAATTTGAATGATGCAGTTTAGACTTAAATACTATCTTTAGGACTGATAGATGAAGATCCCAAATGAAATAGAAAATAAAAGAGGTTATAGTGAATTAAATTTAGAAGTTTGCTTTCATATTTTTTATCTTACACATTCCCCACTTTCAAAAAAAAAAGAAAAAAAGAAAAGAAAAAGAAAGAAAAAGGCAGAGCGATAGAGAAGCCTTTTTGAGAGAAAAAGTATTAGAACAGCAAAACATGAGATATATATATTTTGAAACATTAGTTTCAGGGCCGAAAGCTTTGAAAAATTACCAAAACGCTGGCAGAAAGTCATAGATTTGAGTGGTGATTACTACCTGTACTGAAGGTACTGCTTTCTTGTTTTTTTTTTCTAACTCTATCAAGTACTTTTGGTACTGTTCTGTTATCAGACCGGATTAAAAAATATATGAATGTATGTACATATACGTATGTGCATATATATATATATATATATATACACACACACATACATTCGTACTTACATATATACATGCATACATGAACACATACATACATCGCTAAATCTGGTCCTGATAATAGAAGAGTACCAAACTTTTTTTGGTAGAAAACTTTCATTACAACTAGATAAATATGTTTCAGTTTATAAACATATATATGATTCTGAAGCATTTTTGTGGCATATTGAAAAAAATGACACACTCAGAGATAATTCTGGCTATGCCAATGAGAATGCTTCATTCCCGTGTCATTTAAACAACACATGAATAAATCTTACCTTTGGTAAACATGTTACAACTGGATTATTGCTAGGCCTTTGCACTTTTAGTCCTTTATTTAAATTTCAAAAACAGTTATGTGAAACAATATTTGAAGGTCGTTTCCCTAGGAAAAATTTTAATATTTATGGATATACATCAAAATTTTTCTTATTACAAGGGTTATTTATTCAAGACAATAAGCAAGTAAAATAATGATATGATCACCCTCATTTTTTATATTCAATAGGCCCCACCAGTGGCCGAGTAGTTACGACTGCTGAATACTGGTAGTTTGATCCAGGCAAATGGGCTGGCTACATGGTTGGTTTTCATAGTTTTTCCCCGTATAACATGAATACAAGACAGTTTCCCTCAAAACATCCTCCACGGAGGCATCCCTCCTCTTAGGCAGATAGTCCTCGTGGCTTTGCCATATTTAAATAACGTAATCTAACCTTTATATTCTGTATTATGCAATTTTAATTCTTATTTTTAAAATGAAATATTTCAACATTTTTTACAATACAGAACAATATTTTAAATAAATTATAAATAGATTATTAAAAAAATGCATAATAGTAACAGTTCATAGTAGCATTAAAATTCTGCCACTAAAATATCACAATACCCCAAGTTTCAGTTACACAACATTTACATTTATAAATAATTTTAAATGTTATAGGATCTTTAATCCAATCCTGTTTTTAAATTTTATAATATTAAATACACTAGCAGATAATAATTCTTATTAACTTAAAACCTATTATTATGAATGCAAAATGGACCACAAACAGAAGTTTAGCCAAAAACTTTTAATGAATAAAATTATAAAATTAAAATTTCCATCTAACTTACCTACTTCAAAAATGCCATTCTGCATTATTTTTGGTGATTCTTTCACTGATTCAACTATACTAGTATTTTTTATGGAATCAATATCTTTTTCATAACAAATAAATCCCATTGATTGAATAGCACTGATTATATCATTTGCAGAGATCACAGTAGGCAAATAATAGACAATATACCCATGTTGAAACACTTCTTTAATACTGATGACACCTTTAGTATGAAACAACTGGTTTTCATCTTCAGATGACCATGCAGTTGAACTTAAAGATTGAACTTCAAGAACCACAAATTTTGGTTTATCCTTCAGATCTGAAACTTCAAGCACAGTTGCATCAAAACCCATATCATCTATAATATCTCTAAGCTCATTGGACTTGATGATATTAGGATCATAACATATAGAAGCAATTTTTTCTGAAAGAGATACTGTAATGTTATGTACACCAGCTTTTTTACCAACAAAATCTTCAATGTTGTTTACACAAGAATGGCAAGTCATTCCTTCCACATTAATTTTAACAAAAGATTCATTTAACAAGTTTAATGGAAATGGTTCTGATGCATATCCTAAGTCACTAATTTTTTTACACAATTCATCAATGTTCATTTGGGTTGAGTCATATATAATTCTAGCTAACCTCTCCTCAAATGATACCTTAATACTTTTAACGGCAGGATAAATAAGAATATTTGATTCAATTTTACGAACACAAGTATTACACGTCATTCCTTTCACTGAAACTGCAGTTCTTTCTAACTTAGAAATATTAGGAATGTCAACTTCAAAACCCATCTCTTCTATTTTTTCAGCGAGTTGTGCTTCAGAAATAACATCACTATTATATTCTATTTCAGCAGATTTATTTCCTAAGGAAACCTAAACAAAAGCAAAGGTAACTTTAAAAAAAGGATATCGATAAGAATTTTTAAATTAAAGTAAAATGCATGATTCTAATTTACAAACACATGATTCTAATATACAATAATAATAATAATAATAATAATAATTTTTTTACTAATTTAAAAATAAGCTCAGAATACATTAAAAATACTTGTACTATAAATTAAAGCATGTCCTGTCAACATCAGTTTTGAAACTTTCTTCTATTCTGCAATGTATAATGCAATGCACCACAATTTATTTTAAAACAATTATAGATGAATTTAGCACAGTAACTGTTTCTCACGCTTCTTCACAAAATATTTAAAATCTTATTCTATAAAAAATTAACAGAAATTGCATTTTAAAATACAAAGTAATGAATAATAAGATAATAAAAGTAATAATAATAATACATTCATGTTACAGCTACAAATACTATCATCTACAGAAAATTGTGTGTATGTCTTGACATAAATTTAATCTGACCTATAAGGTACTTTATTTTCGGTCAACACAAAAATATTGAAAGTAATTATAAAATAGACATTTATGATGAATATAATATTGGATTAACATTCTATTTAAAATTCATTCAAATTTAATAATACAATGAGGTCAGTCTGAGAGTATGAATGAGCATAGCAGAAAAATTAATAAAACTTCCTATTTTGTTCATTAAAAACAACACACAGTCATAACTGTTGTATTTTAAATGATATTAAGATTCTTTCCACAGCAGAATGCTAAACATTACAAGATTTATGCACTTATGTAATATTTATTTAAACTGCAAATTTCATATATTCTCTTATAACAAACTATTTATGAATGAAAAATGTAACACAAAATTTGCACAAAAGTAGTTGCACATTAAACACACTTCTGACAGTGTCAACAAAATAAAAATACTGCCTTTTCTCACATTTGTTTACAAACTGCAGACTATACCTTGAGTACAAAACAAATGACCACATAAATGTTCAGGCAGAACCAAAATCATCAGAAATATTTAATATAAGTAAAATATTTTGTAAACAAAACTTTCCTATTTTGAAAAAATAATAATAATAAGCTTACATAATGATATTTATCAAAAATGTTTCCCATGTTCATTATACCAAAATTCAACAGATGGTGTTATAAGAAAAAGGAGCGAAGCATAATGGCAAAATTTCAAAGTATCTGGGAAAACCTGCTCCTAGGTCAAGGATTACTATAATCCTTCTATAAATCATGGATTATCTCCTTACCTGAAATTTATCCCCAAGGAAATAAATTACGTGATACTGTAAACATATGAATCAGCCTAAAGCCTTTATTAGATATTATTTTAAAATGGGTTTTAACTAATTTTTTTCATTGATATAGAAATAAATTTGATTTCTTAGTTTTATTGCTTTAATTTATTAATTTTTTTGCCATTTCAATTCAATGTAATTAAGAATACTTATGATCAAAATGGAAGTCCATAAGCAAGTAATAATTCTAAGAAACAAATATTTTTAAAAGCAACTACCTTAATTTTTTTCACTCCTTCAAGTCCTTGTATTTTCTGTTCTATCGTATTAACACATGAATTACATGTCATACCCTCAATCTGGAGGGTAATAATGATCTTCATTTTGAAAAAAATGACTTCCCTAGTCCAAAAGCATAATCCTTTTCCTGAAGAGTATTATGCTGGTGTGGCTTTCCAGGAAGTTCTATATATAGCCTCAACTTAAGATAAGATGTTTGGCTGTTATGTGTATGTCAATCTAAAGCAAGTGAATAAAAATACATATAAAAGATATTTGCAATATAAAACATTTCTGCATGATTTAAAACATCTAAAAAAAATTTTAAAAGGTTAAGTTATATAAATACAAATAATTGGTCAATAAATTTTCAAATAGAAAAGTTTACAAATTTGTAACTTATAAATAACACATTTCAGTATTTATATTTTATTCCATTTTTCTATAAAAATTAGAAATATTTAAGATACAAATTTGTAACTTATATTTAAAATACTTATCAATAAATAACACATTTCAATATTTATAATTTGTTGCATTTTTCTACAACAATTACATTTGAAAGAATGCACTTTTTATTAAGCTATTTTTTAAAATTTTAGCATGTAAGTATATTACTTTGATAACTTAACTTTGAATTAAATTGGTTTTCAAGGCTTGATATTTTGTATTTTTTTCTTAGAGCTTTAAGATTTCTTTTACACATGATGTTTTGTTGCAACAACAAACTTTGCTCATAATGCTTAATAATTATAATAATAATTAATAACATTAATTTGCTCATAATGCTTTAATCAGGGTAATAACAAGTTGATGATGGTAATAAGTTTTTATATTATGATAAGACTGTTTACTTCAAATCAAAGAAAAAAAAATCCATCAAAAGAAAAAAAAAGGAAACTCAGGTAAAAATGTAAAAATACTTACAAAAGCATATAATTTTAGATTATTTGCAATGTACAAAGAAAGTTAGCGAGCACTTGCCAAATAAGTGCAAAAGCTTTTATAATTTGTTACTTTAAGAAATTTTATCAGAGAAGAATGCATTAAGACCTTTTAATACAATTTAAGTGATTCCATTATTAAACAAGTTTTATGACTATCAGATCTATAACAATGATGCATAAAGACATTTTGTTCAGATGTTAATAACACACAGGTAATATTTTATATAACCGAAAATTACTGATATTACTTTAAATGCATTATTGCTTCATGCTTACTGATTCATAGCTATAAGTATATAAAATGTTAGGTTTTGCAAATAAATTTTCTAAATTTTATTCCATTTGAATTAATTTGTTGCACTTCTACTTAACACAGCTAATCAAAATTTAAAAAAATTATCATGGTCAAACAACAAACAAGCTGATGCACTGAAAAATATATAATCATACACTCCAGACATGGGATTTCTTCATACTTTTATTTAACTAACTGTAGTTTACATATTACTATCCTGTCTTGCCCTGATTAATAATTAATAAGCACGTGTATATTTTTACTGGTATATAGAACACTGCCAATAAAATAACCACATGTGACTGATAGTCACAAAATATAAAAAACAGTAGTACCAAATTACTCAGCATAAATTATATTAATAAATAGGTATAATTTTTTGAGTTCACGTATCTGTGAAATTGTATGCTAACCATGAGCCATAAAATTCTGCAGTTACTGAAAAATTTCATAATTATTTTCCCTGCTATACACTATTTGCACTTCAGCAATACTATAAATATTATTTTTAACTATACGGCATAAGCACATAAAAGAGTTCACTACCACTTGACTGTAACAGATTGAATGTGACATACTTTATTTTATATGAATAACAACTAACAGCTGTTTAGATTTTAAAAATTAGGCAAAATAGCAATCTATTTTTGGCATAAATTTTAAATAAAACTCTAATGATTTCAGTTGTGATCAGATACATGTCCCTCTTCCTCAAAAATAAAAAAAAAAAAATTCTGGTAGCTCTGATCATTCTGAAAATTGATAGTTTCATTTAAAATTCATGCACCCCCCCAAAAAGTTGTAATTTTGAATAGCTTTAAATTTTACATTGGCTTCTCTTCCCATTTGAACTATTTAGATACACATACAAAACCAATATAAGTAAAATAATAATAACTTAATATTAAAACAGTATATGAGATCTCTGTTTTTATTTTCATAGATTTTACATTTACAGACTTTTATGAATTAAAAAAAAATATTAAAATGAGGTAAAAAATTTAATGTTTCTTGTTGATTTATGTTAATTTTGGCAATTCTGGATCAATGTAGAATGCTTTTAAAAAATGAATATATATGAGTATATATATGAAAGATAAAAAAAAAAGTATAAATATAAATTATAATTTCCATTAGAAACAGTTAATTTTAATTTTAATTTGGCTATTCCCCCCTTTATCCTAAAAATAGTACCTAATACCCTTTTCTGCACTGTGGCATTCTGAAGCTAATCCATGTCATATGATTCTTACATAAAGCTGGTAGCATAAATGGAACTAAAACTATACAGCCAATAATAATTTTACAGCAATATTAATTATCCAATCAAATGTATTGAAAACAGAAACCACTCATCCTGAATTAAGATTTCATCGTGAACACAAGACACTTGCTTTCTGCACTTCTGCCTGATGCTTCTCTTTTTATTGCAAAGCTATTCAAACGTAAATGTTCTTAAAAAAGCAACAAAACATTTTTATCAAGTACTGGGACAATTTGTTTGTGGCTGCAAAATGTTTACCAAAATGAAAATTAATATTTAATCTGCCTTTCTTTCCAAGTTTACTTTGGATCAGCACTCTAGCCATCAATCATTACAGCTAAGTTTGCTTCATTAGATATATATATTTACTCCAAGACTAAATAAATTTTTTCATCTTTAATCAATGAAATTTAATGCCCAGCTTTTCAAATAGCATGCATTAAATTAATGTTACACAGCTGTAAATAATTTTTAATAACATTTAGAATGTTAAAAATATTCAAGTTTCTGAAAGTACCTTAGACCTTTTTTGTACGTTCATCGTATTAAGGATTTTCACATTTAGTCTAACAATGCAAGAAATTATCTTATTAAAAGCAGCAATGAATTAAACACAATATTTCAAATTCAGGAGCTCATATTAATTATACTTTAAATTCCTATAGATAAAGCTTACAAATTTGTGAAGTTCTATTAGACTTAAAAACAAGCTACATAATTATTTTATTTATTTATATTATTAAGAAAAAAATACAATGCTAAAATAAATAATGCATATTATATGAGAAAGTGAATGCAAATATCAATTAACACAGGTCAGTGCACCATAAATTTAAAAAAAAAAAAGAAAAGAAAAGAAAGAATGTTTAATTTTAATGCAATGAAAAGCTTGATAGTGGTTTTACTTTTAAAAGTAAGATTATTCTTTTATGACAAATCTTTTCATCAACGAAATCTTTTAAAAATTTAATATCAGCAATAATTTTAATCTGTTCCACTACAATCAATGACTGACATTCTTTAAACACTAAAGTAAATAACACAATCAATGACTGATATGTCTTGGAGATAACATATGAACTTTCAACAACAAAATACTAGATAAAATTTAATCCTCAAGAAACGCCTTGCAAAGAAATTATGAAAGACACTTTAGCACATTAAAATGTTAAAACTATCAAAAACTAAATTTCTTTTACAGTAATTAATAAAATTAAACTTTTTTAAATAAAAGCAATGGTTAATAAAGAGTACATGAAGGGCAGCCAAACAATAAATCTATAACAAAAATGTCAAGTTCTTTACGATTTGCACTACATAAAAGCATTCAATAAATTGTCCAGAAATATTGGAAACATTTTTAGGATATCATTAAAAATGATTTTTAGCTATGACAACATGATTTTCCTCAAGTTCTTTAATATTTATAATTGATAATCATATCTGATAATTTTATCTGGTATAAAAGTTATTATGATACACTATACATTTCCATTAAAATCAATATGTAAAACTTTTTATTTAAATTTCACAGTTATCTAAAATATACAAAATAATGTCATGGTTTAATGTCTAACTTTTATCAGCTTTGGAATATTGGGAGGGGAAGAAACTCATCAGTTAAATGTAGTGAAAAATATATTCTTTATTTAAATGACAGTCCAGGCATATTGGCAAAGCATAAAAAGCACCTAAAAGCAAAGCATAAACAAGGTGATTCGCTGGTAAGCTGGATGGAAACAATGTGCAAAAAAAAAAAAAAAAAAAAAGATTAGCATATGTTTGAAATTCACAGGATTATTTTAGCAGTTGTAAAAGTCAAATATTATATACATTCAGTATATAATTAATAAGCTGCTCTAATAGAAATATTAATTTCCTGTTTGCAATAAAATGGCAATTTGAAAAAAAAAATATTCTGATGAATATTACTAAGTAGTTTCTCAATAACCTATTATCGTAGTAAAACTAAAATTTCTTGGAATCCTGATTAGATTTTGAAATCTGTTATTTTACACACATCAAATTTATCAGGATTCCTTAGGGCTTTCTCATTTAAAACTTTTAAGCATTTCAGATAAAATGGGCAAATAACTAAATGTAAACATTTTTATCATGAGAAATTCAGGCTCTGTTAGGTGGTTTGAAACTCACAGTGGAAAAAAAGTAAGAATTTCTTTTAACAGTGTCTGATTCTGCACAGTTTAGCACCAAAATCTCACAGAAGTTCCTGAAAGGTTAATATATCACAGTAGTTGTTACCGGTATACAGGTTATCTATAATTAAAAAACCCTATCTCAACGCTGCCTACAAGTGAAACGACTGATCAGAAAATTGTGAAATTTTGTGGCAGACTTAATGAATGCATGAGAATGTCAGGAAAAAAGGAAAAAAAAAAAAAAAAAAATAGCTGCAAATAGCATCACTAAAAGGCATTATATTAATAAATTGTACATTTAACCACACCTTTATAATAGTTTTACAATTTTACCAATTTTGTCACAAAAAAACATGCTCCACATGTTGGCAATCATTTTCAGCTACCATTTGAAATCGCAAGAGAGCATGTTCCACAATTGAATGTGACATGAAATGCTAGCTTTAAGATCAGGTAATGTCTTGGGACAGTCACAATTTACAAGATGTTTCAAATGCCCTCAAAGCCAAAAATCGCATTAATTGTGGTCTGGGGATTGGGAAGGTCACACATTACGAAAGTTTAGGTAAAACAATTTTACTAACAACGCAATCTCGTAAACGTATCGTCATTATGAGCAACAAGCACGTTGAAAACAAGGTCTCTGTGAATGTTTCTAGGTTTTACAACAGCTGCTGCATGACATCAGCAAAGATTTACATTTTTACTACAAGTAAATTTTATTATTTAGTTATTTAGTTACAAACAGCATAACTAGAGGGCATTATTATTATTTATAAGTATAACAGCCTCTGGTTATGCTATTTATAACTATTTCGCTTTTCTAGACATTCTCATTCCTTAAGTTTTCTGCAAAATTTCACAGTTTTTTTAACACTGGTTTTGCTTGTAGGTAGCTTTGAAATACAGTTCTGTAATTACAGACACCCTGTACTTCAACATATCCAGATACAGTAATTTCTGACAAAATACTTGACATATTACTGTTATCAGAAAAAAATATACTGCTGGCTATTAAGATTACTATCTCATGAAAGAAGTGCATAATGAACTTCAAATTTGTATGGAAAGTAGAGCATGTTTGAATATGAGAATAATTAGCACTTCGTGGTCTGCATAATTATTGGTTACAGTAATGACACTTTGAAGCAGAATCATAAGGCAGATTGAAATGCTGATTTTTTACTTGGCAATCCCTTTTCCTCACAATTTTTGTGCTGGAGGTCATGTTATGCTTCACATAAAAAGAAGGAACTCATCACAGCACATTTAAGAATTTGATCTTGGGATAATCATAGCTTACTCAGACTGTAGATTATTACACCAAACTCTTGTTTACTTTGACCAAGACTCAATGAAAGTTATAAGAATCTGCAATAGATGAGTCAAAGAAGGGCACGAAAATAAAAAGCAGAATCACAATGTCTTCACTCACCAATATATGAGACAATAGATGGATTGTCTACATCACATATCTAAATCAGAGAACTGAATATGATACACTGCACCAAGTATCTGCATGCACAGTGTGATAACTATAAAGCCACATATTGTCAGTAAGGCAACCACTGCTTTGGCTTTCCTTGATATTACAGTTCAGGAATCAGCACTTGAATTCTTTCTGCAGCACTCTGTATTTTCCCACTGTTTAAACTTTGCTGACCTCAAAATAAAAGACTTTTTTTACAACCTGTGAAGCCAAAAATATCTATGTCTTCTTCTGTCTTGATGCTTTATATTGTTTAACAGTTAATCTACCCCTTAACAGCCATCACTACTCAGAAGTTCCCTTTTGATACTCAGTTTTTCAAAATCAGGAAGGCAAGATTTTTTTTTCCACGTAAGACCTAAGAGACATACTCCTACCATTACCAGAACAACTCTCCTATTATCTACAATATGTTAACTCAAAATTTCATCATTTATACATCTGCATAAAATAGTTCAGTTTCTAAGATCAATCATAGACAATGATAAGTAACTACACCAAACCTGTGAAACTCACAGGTTTCATATGCTGTTAACTAATTTTTTTGTGATTTTCATTTCAGTCCAAGAAAATAACGAAAAATTGCAAAGTTATAATAAATTAATGAAAATTGGAATTCTATCAAATATTGAGGCATATATAGAACCTTAGGTGCTTTAAAAGGAACTCTTAAAAAGGTCTCCTTACAAAAGTAATTTCTCAATCAACAATGAAAATGTACCAGGTTATGAATATTTGTAGAACAGGTTTATTTTGAAGCAGTATATATGAAAAATTAGCACAATCTTCACCAGAACTTTTAACCTTCCAAATGTTCCCCAGAAGTGCTTTCCAGTTACACCATTAAGACATACAATAAGGAAAGGGAAATTTCTTACATATTTAGAACCAGTGTGAACACTTTTTCTCAGCTTTAAAGGAAACAAGTCCACAGTGAGATCCAGGTTAATAGACATTCATCTGGCTTCTGTTCTAAAAGCAGCTAATGCAGCATCATGTTTTCAGACTTCTGAAAGCTGGCTGCAGAAAAAAGATGCCAGCTTGCTTGTGTCGAATGAAAAGAGAGTGACAGTGCGCTTTTACTCTGTATCAGATAAAAGAATGTCTGGAACAACAAAAGGAAAATATGAAGAATCAAGATGGTAGAATGAGATATTTCACTTAGCCACCATCAGTCGGCGAAGAAAGATGAAATGAATTCAAGAAAGAAACAATAGGTATTCATCTACAAACCAGATTTCCTTATATTCCTTCAATTTTTTTTTTAATTAGAGTATTATGTAAGAATTTTATGTATTTGGTCACTTTTTAAATATCTCATTAAGTATGAGAATGGCATTTTTTTCCCATTGTGGCCCACACCATTCTACACTGATGACTGGTACACTCGAGATAATAAGTTTGACATGCTAGAATCACACCAACTGTATGACGTTCTATCCACAATTCAAAAATGCAAAACATTTTTGTCAACAAGCAGTTTTTTTTTTTTTCTTTTTTTTTTTTTTTTTTTTTTTTTTTTTGTTGTTGTTTGATTATTGGGATCATACAAATGACATCCCCTTCACTTATTTTCAATATTCCCAGCTATACACCCAAATTTAAAATTTAAAAAATACTCTTCAAAACTATACATATTCTTGTGAATTTTTTGCATACATTGGAGGTGTGTGTGAAATTTTTGTATTTTTTTATTGTATAATGTGACATGAAAGCCTGGAGAGGCAATGCTTTGCTGGAAGGGTAGAAGTGCAGGGGGAACTACTTAGCATTGTGTGGATGATGCCAGGCTTGCGATGGTTTAGACAACTGGTTTTTGTCACCAAGTTCAACAATTTTGGACCAGCCCCTGTATAGCTATGGTGGGAACTGTGGTTGAATAAGCTGCGGTTAATCTATACATGCAGCTGTAACTGTGTCTGGCCCTCATGTACCTTTCAATAATTCGGGAGGTGCTGGAGATTTATCAGTGTCTGGGGAAGAACTAAGGGGGACTGGAGAAAGTATCAGTTTAGAGTAGTCATTAGCTCAGAATGAATTCGAGGAAATTGACAAAAATCCAATTCATCTTACTCTTGTAAAAAGCACTAAACATAACACGTCAAATAAGTGGGCGATTCTGCACTTCACCCAAAGTAAAATCAAGAAAATTTCTTTCAGGACCAGATTAAAAATAAGACCTTCTCTCTTCATCTTGGTTTAGCTGCTCTATACATTCCACAGTAAAACAGGCAATGCGAAATTTTTGTGATGTCCCCTTTTCTGAGACTCTAAGGACCCGTTTGCATTGCCTCATTTCCTTGATAATCTAAGCACTTGCTTACACTGCTTAATAATTAAACCAGCTCTTATTACTTTCAAAACTCACATAAACAGATATAACCTAAGATCAGTTATATTTAAAATTGTATTTTCATAACATTTAGTGGAAAATTATTTCAGTTAATCATATACTGATATAAATAAGAATTTGGCAAATTTCTTAACTGAAAACTATTATTATCAAAGTCCCAGGTAGTAACCTTTATCGCCTCCAAAATGTCGCCAAACTACCAGTTACCATATTGTAAAGATCAACCAAAGTTTCAACCGTATATCTAACACACACATAATAATTTCGAATACAAATTTAAAGAGACATCAAAAATGAAATGAACTTCAGGATTAAAGTACAAATCATACTGAGCACACTTTTAATCAATTTATAATATTGTTCCAAATTTAAAAATCGCGTCAGTTCTACTTCCCGCATTAAAAATAACCATTAAAAAAGTCATTTAAACATTGCATACACTTTTATACTAAATAAAATGCTGACACATAAAATAAAACATTGACTCATAATATTTAAAACTATTTTCTAAAAAATTATTGAATATTAAAAAAATTCCGTAAGAACTGACGTATATTTTACCGACTGAATCTCAGTCAAAATAAGTATTTATTGAAATTGTGGCAAGACCAGCATACCTTTTGGAAAATGCATATATCATGGAGATGGAGAAAAAATAATCACAAATTTAAAAATATCCATAAGAAGAAATCGTACAAAACGAAAAGAAAAACAAAACAATTAAAAGCTCTGGTACAGTTACACACTTTCGGAGGTCGTCCACTTTCCCTGAAAAAGCAATCAACTGTATCACTTCGTTCATAGCACACCTCGCCCGACCAGACGAGAAAACTGAAGGAGTAAATAGCAGCACTGTGGCCACCGTCACGTAACCATTTCACTGGACGTTTTGACGTAGACGCAATTTCAAAATAGGGCGTGGCTGCTTTTGTTGTAAATAAAGCATTCAGTTCTTTAGTTACTTTAGTTCACTTTCATAGTTCATAAGATAGAGATCTCGCTGTTTGCGTCGCTCTTCCTTTTTAAGCAAATACTCTTCTTAGGGGTATAGGATTCAATTTCTTTAAAATCTGAAAATCGTAAAGCAGATTTAATCCACTTGTCTTTAATTAGTTCTTTTATTTCCTTCGAATATTTCTGAGATTAAGACAAAATTATTTATGCTTTCCATAAATTCGGTATATGATGTATTCAAAACCGGAGAGGAGGAGTTTGCAATGCAATGTAATTCTAAAATAAGTATTTAAACACTAAAACGATTGTGATTTAATCTATAATTAAACACTTAATCAGTCGTCAAAGTTAATTGGTTAATTGGTTCTTCCTAAATAACTTATATAGTGTTTTTCAACTAAATGCATATACGCCATCAATTAGAACTTTTCAATCGCACTTTCAGCATAGCAAAAGTACACTTGCCGGTTTCCATCGAACATATGAAAACTAACAGGTTCTCGATGTCACATGCCGTGATTTTGACATATTTTGTCTTACTACGCAAAAAATGACTATCGAAAGTAGTTTTATCTGCTATGCACAGTCATTGTCTCCACACTGCCTCAGAATCATGCATTCTAAAGTATTCTGTTTTGGCAGTAATATTTGTTTAAACCAGAGTTTCTCAAACAGGGTTCCCGGAACCCTAGAGTTTTGCGAAACATTCTGAAGGGTTCCGCAAGGAATAGGGAAATAATACGTGATAAAAGAGAAAAAAGTTTTTTTCTTGATTCCGTGTCGTACTTGGGTAACTTAAATAGGGAAAAAGCTGATGTGACTGTGAGAAGAGTCAAGAATCTGGTTGATATCTGAGATCCGACGATGGAAGTTTATTATAAGACTCGAACCGTTGATCATTGAAAAGCTCCCTTTGGCTGTTCGGGAATGCTCCGTTAGACTCGCCAGACGCTGTCAACAAATGTATGAACGTCTTTGTTACTTGCGTTACCAATACAATTAAAAAAAAAGAGCGAGAACATTTTTTTTTTTTTTTAACTGGGAGGAGATTGGTTTAATCTTTAGCAATTTTCGTTAAATTGTACATTGGCATTGCACAGCTATGCATACAACACGAGTCAAACAGAACATAGCCAAACGGACAAGGACAGTTTTTCAAGTGTCATGTAGTAGAATCTAGTGTGCAGGGCCGTCTTAAGGAATTCGGCGCCCATGGGCTACTAAAAATAATGCGCCCTTCTTCCTAAGAAAATACACAGAATGGCAAATGGGAGTCGGAAAAATTATACAAAACAAAAGTGTCAGAACTAGAAAAAAACTATTTATTACTTTTATATATAAACTGTTATCTTTATTGTAACTTTTCTTTAAAGCACTTATTTAAAAGATGGGTATAAATGTTTACCCAGATTTGAGGGGATTATCTCAATATGACAGTTCCGATCAGTTTTAGTCTAATCCTTAGAACTTGATCGGAACTATTATACGATTCTCCATCAGTGCATAACATAAACAAAATAAAATTAATTAAATAAAAACCATTAAGAACAAAAAAAAACACACCTTAATCTAAACAAATGTAACTTATAATTTACTTTCCTAGCTTTTTTCTTTGGCAAACTGATCAATAATATCACTAGTATTAAATTTTCAAATAAATCTCTTCAATAGACAAAATACTTAAATCATTGAGTTTACTCTGTGCCAAAGAAGATCGTAAGTAATTTTTATTCTTTTGATTGCTGAAAATGATCTTCGCCCCTGCAGTTTGTTGTGGCGATACTTAAAAATGCGCAGTGCTGTGGTTACGTTTGGAAATGTAAATTCAATTTTTAACTCGATTATTGTCTTTAAACTTAGTTCTGCGATAGATATATTTTCGGTATTTTCCAAATAAATTCACATGTTTAAAATGTAGGCATTCTTCAATGAAGTTGTTTTCTAAATCATTCTGATATATTTCGCACAACTTTGCTGCATTATTTCTAATTATGTCTTCATTTATATTTTTTAAATTAACTAGAAACCCAAATGTTGAATAAATGTCAATATATGCACATTTTCTCTCTTGTACTTCTGCTAGAATTTATCAATAATAGCATAATATGTTTATGCGGAATTCGTCATTTGCATCAAGTTGCACTTCTTCCGACGTATTTTCGTCGAACTGTCTTTTTCTTTTCCGTAACCGTTTGTATTCATAACAGCCAGATAATTTTATACCTTCTGATTTGTAAAGGTTAAACGAATCTATATTTCGTTTCGATTGTACAAATTTTTCTAAAGAAGCATATAATGAACAATGCATTCAATTGTAATATCAACTTTTTGAAGCGATATATTAGTTTTATCGATGGTTTCCAATATTTCACTCCAAAATGTTATCATAATAGCAGTTTCCATGAGTTGAACTCATTTAACAACCCCTGGGCTTCAACTTTTGTTGCAGGCTTTTGAAAATTTTTTTATTTATTTATTTTTTTTTTTTATTTTGAAAATTATCTTCGTAAAGTTTAGTTAAAGCATTTTTAAAATTTTCATAGCCCGAAACCACTACTTTCACTGAATCAGCTCTTGCTGACCAACGAGTGTCGCTTAATTTTTTGGGAACTTTATTTTTTGCTGTTAGCGTATTTTTTAAAATTTCCCATCTTGATGTTGATGCGGCAAAGAAATTGTATAAGTTTTGTAGAAACAAAAACAATTTAGTTGCTTGGTATGCAGCATTCAGCTGCCGATTGTCCAATTAAATTAAAGAATGTGCCGCACAAGGCACGTAAATGGCAAGATTATTTCTAGATTTAATGCGTGCTTGGAGGCCGTTATATATACCCGACATATTAGAGGCATTATCATAAGATTGTCCTCTACAATCTTCCAAACTAATATCTAAATCAGATAATAGCTTTAAAATACAGTCTTGCATTCCTGAGCTCTTATGGCCAGTATTCTCCAAAAATTTTAAAAACCTTTCAACGGGTGGTGTTCATTTTTATTGACATATCTTACGACAATGGTTAATTGATCCATATGGGAAATATCGGGCGTCGAATCTACTATAATAGAGTAATATTTTGCCTCTTTTAGTTCCGTGATAATAAAAACATCTAACATTCTGCCCAATATTTTTAGAAAACTCATCACAAATATTTGCAGATAAATAAGAAATATTCCCAGTACCTTTATTTGCAAAATTAAATATATGTTGTTGCAAAATAGGGTCAAATTTTGCTAAAAGTTCTAAGCACCCTAAATAATTCCCATTATGTTTATCACCAATAGTATGATTTTCTCCCCTAAAAGCCAAACCCCTTGAACTTAAAAATTTTATGACTTCGATGATACGTTCTAAAATATTTTTCCAGTAATTCGTATTTTTTTCCATTGATATAATAGAATAATTTTTGAAATATTCCCATTTTTCTGTAGATCTGTTCACAATTATACGGGTGTTTTCTTTATGAAGGGCTGAATTTTCATGGTCCGAAATTTTTTTCACTGTGTTTCCAATCGTTAAAACATGCACTAAATGGATTATTGGCACTACCAAACAGTTTGCAAGGGATGCAATATACTTTTCCTGAAGTATTTGAGTATAAAAGCCAGTTTCTTTTTTGTTGTTTTCCGTTTTGTAAACGTCTATAAAATATTTTTGTAGCATACCTGCTCTGTGATTTGTAGACCAACTTTAGATGATAATTCAATTGATAATTGCTTTGACATGGATGCACTGAATCATAGAATTTTTTTGTTTTTTGGCGGGAAAGAAAAGGCAATTTTTTTCAATATGCTTTTTTTTTTTTTTTTTTTTTTTTTTTTGTCCACTTGATTTTGTATAAACCGTTCAATATACTACCTAATTTCTTTATACCTTAAAGTAAAATATTATTTTTAAATATAAAATGAGAAAAAAAAACCAATTTATTTTTAACCTTTTAAAATTAATAAATATTATCTTGCTAAATGTCATTTTTTTTATTATGCGTTTTTTTTTTGTCCACTAGTGTATGTAAAAGGAAAAGAACTTAGGAAGATAATAATATAATTTAATAATTTCCACTTAATTTTCAACTTTTAATTCACCTTATTCAGTCGACAAATACTAAAATTATATCAATTTTACTTTTGTCGTGCAATCTATATTAAGGTACGCATCAGTGACCCCTTTATGTTCCTATTGTTACGAATTTGGTATTTAAAAGCTAATGTTAGTTCAATTATAAATTAAATGGTTTTATTTCTCGCGCAATGCAGCGCGTGACGACGAATATTAAAAGAAAGCTAAGCCGGAAAATTGAAAATACAAGAGCACGTACATTTAACATTAAATAAATAAATATCTCTTCTTTGATTTCCGAGAAAGTTCCTGGAAAATTCTCGCGCGAGGATTTTAAAATCTTATAAAAGGAGGAAAACACTCTCAGTTTGTTAGTTAGTTGCTTGCTTAGTTTGTTGTTGTTTAGAAAACTGCTCTTGTTGATTGTAGCGAATTCGCGGATTAGCGTTCTTTAGCTGCTTTGAATTACGTTCTATTGGATATTTGAGTAGTTAAAAAAAGATAACTACTGTGAGATATTGTAATACTGCATGATAATTTGAGAAAATTTAAGCATTTTTGTTGTGATAATAATAAATTTTTGTCATTTTTCATCGGACTTGTGCATTCATTTCATAACGAACCCGTACGCACGCAACACTATCTTTTATCAGGATTGTTAAAATAATACAATACGTTTTTAGATAAATGAATATGCCCTGGCGACGCGGTGGGTGCTATACGTAGGTGGTCTTATATTAACTCCAGTACAGCTCCGACAGTTCAAATGCGACTGAAACAAAAGTACGATCGGTAGGGTGTTACTCCTTTCGGGTTGCCCTTCTCTATCTACCGTTTTTCAGCACATTTGGAAGAAATAAAAATCAGTTTAATATTTTAAGAAGTGTTTTAATTTAAAAATAAGTAAAAACTAATAAAATGAAAAATAAATTTTTACTATATCGCAAATAAAAAATTGCCGCCTCAAAAGGCTTGCGCCCTGGGGCTATAGCCCATTTAGCC